GTGTGTGTGTGTGTGTGTGTGTGTGTGTGTGTGTGTGTGTGTGTGTGACAGAGTATACAGTTTTATAGAGTTTTTTAATCGTATTCATGTTAGCTATTTTTCCTTTCAACCAGAATTTTGCAAACCTATTTGGTACGAACATGTGGATTGGACTTTCTGACTCAGACTTTGAAGGGACATGGAAATGGGTGGATGGCACTCAAATGACCGAAAGGTTCACATCATTTTAAGGATATTCAAATAATTTTTGCTCACACGTGATTTTGAAAAACACGATGTTTAAATACACTGACACCCAGCAGGCAAATCACTGACTGAATTTCTGACCCCATTTATGTCTCTCTTTCAGCTTCTGGACTGAGAAAGAGCCAAATGGTGGAACAAAGGAAAACTGTGGGAATATCAAGAGTTTTAACGAGAAAAGTAGCTGGAATGATGAAATGTGCTCCATGAATCACTACTGGATTTGTGAAAAATTACTTGTCAGCAATTAAAAAATACAGATTTTTGACATTAGAGGCAGCTCTTTTACAAAGCTGAAAAAATCTATGCCATCCTTTCCGATTTGATTAATGTTCAGTCTTAGAAATTCAGTTACAAACGTACTGGCTTAACATGAATGTATAGTGCTCGAGGTTAACTTTAGTTTGGGTGGCCAATGACTACTCTGTGCTTCTCTTCATGAAAAAACAAAGATCGCATTACATTATTTGTGCTCTGCCTAACAGTAAAACTTTAAAGCTAGCATTCTTTTTTATTGTCATAGTATGGTGATCTAATTATTGTTTAACCTGATGGCCAGAGCTCATTTCTCAATTCTGATAGTATTCCCATTGTTATTGAGCTTTCTGCTGCTGCTTGCTCACAGGGGTGTACAGTCACCATACCGGTGTTGGTAAATAAGAAAGAACTGGTTTGGTAGAATAATAGGGTTGATGCTCAGTTTCAAAGAGAAAATAATTTGAATGAAAGCAATATTATTGTAAATGTGGCAAGAGCAACATTTTTTTTAAAATGGAGAATAAAACAAAAATACACATTTGTAAAAGTGATGTCACCTATTCCAAATTATAAACAAAAATCAACTTTCGGAATCATTTACTTTCCATAAGAATATTAAAATTCTAATTATTAAGCTAATTATTATGGTATTGGTTTAAAAGCCTAATTTAAAAATAACAACAATAAAAAAGCTCTCAATTCTTTGATTCATGTAATAAACCTGTAATGAACCATCTAAGTCTTGCACAACTCCTGATGGCTTCATATGATCAGAAGAATTGTTCTGCAGCTAGTGTTGTGCAAATAAACATTTACAGTATATGAACACTGTCTGGGATTTTTTTGTAATCTACGTTATGCAAATACCAGTCACTTTCTATCATCTATGCACAGGTCCAGAGTCCAGGTGTGTGAATGTCTCCTTCTTACGTCATTCAACGTGTCAACCCCTCAGCAATCTTAAGATCGTCACAGTTTCTTCAGTTTTAGCTTCAACTTCCATCCATCCATTTTCTGAACTGCTTATTCCCAAATGGGATTGCAGGGGGCTGGACCCTATCCCGGCATTCAATTGGCGAGGGTACACCCTGGACAGTCCGCCAGTCCAGGGCCACACGTATAGACAAACAAAGACAAACAACCACCCATACTCAGCATTTTACAGGTCGTCTTTCATCAAACTTTCTCACTTCAGAACGGGATTGTCTCACTTGAATCTAAAGTCACTCTGAAGACAGAAAATCTTTATGAGGCTCCATGACAAAATTGTGCTCATGTCCCTGACTTGTCACTAAACTGGAACTGATTTTAAAACATGACGTTGGATAGACAGCTTGATGTGTCTGTTGCCAGCCCTTTGGCATTTGAGCCCTGTTGCCGGCTCTCCTTGCACAAACCAAACATCTAACACCAACCATCTCAGCTCTCAGTCGTTCTCACACACATTACTTCATTTCATAGAATTGAGAACAAATTTAAATGTTTAAGGAAGTTGCATCTCCCACCAGAAAAACACATATATCAAATAAGACACCTACTTCTTTTTACAGATCTGAAATGCTACAACAATAATAACATCAATCCATCCATTATCGTTACCGCTTATTCCCTAATTGGGTCGCACGGAAAACCAGAGCCTATCCCAGTGGTCAATAGGTGAGAGGCGGGGTACACCCTTGACAGTCCGCCAGTCCATCGCAGGGCCCAATAATAACATCCACATAAAAAATCTAACTGATGAAAAGGAAGAGCTGAAAATAATAATGCAGAGTAAGCTCCAGAATCTTTATTAAAAAGGGGAAATCTATATATATTGTGTTGTGTTGTGTTGTGCTGAATATTATCTTCTCCAAAATGTTGAATTCACATCAGCACATTATTGTGTTCTTTAACCTGATAGCGGTTCCCCAAAGCATAAGGTTCCTCTACACCCCCTGGAAAACATTAATGACTCTTTAGAGATCTTCATATAAAGTTCAGAATTTGATTATCTAATGAGTTTTAAGGGTCCTTGGGGAAACCTCAATCCCTTCACCACTGTGTAAACTAGTAGCCCATTGCAAGAAAATAAACTGTTCTCACTGAAACACTTAATGTCTTTAAATAGCCAAAATATTATCATAGAAATATATCAGATCATTTATGTTTTAGGATTGCATAATGTAATAGGATTGCATTTTTTTATACTTTCCCACAGGAAGTCAAAAACTCCATAAAATGTTAACATTGTTAATAACTAAGTTGTGTGAAGACTGAGTTGCAGTTAAGATTTATTAGTTGTTGTTTTTTTTTAACTTTATTATTTTTGGAATGCTTTCCAAGGAATTACCCACACATTTTATCTTGCATATATACATTTTACATCTATTTTATTTTTCATTTAAAAAATTTGAACTAGCATAAACTTTAAGAACAGATTACTATTTAAAAAGTTGACCTGGGCATTGGCTGATAACATTTGTCATTTAAATATTATCAATATATAATGCATTTTGCAACAAGGAAATTAGAAGCTAAACTAACATTACGATTATGCAACTGACAGAGTTGCATAGTTTTTCACAAGTTAACAAGAATGGAGAAGTTATTTCTTTCACAACGAAGGTTTCGGGAACCACTGACACATTTAACAGGAGGTGATCGAAAGTTAAAACTTCAGCCACATCCAATTGTACAAGCAGTTGAAAAGAAGGCCAAGCAGTCTCAAATTTGCTGACTCATGCTGTGCAGACCTAAGTAAAAACTTTCCTACATTACCCAAACTACAAAGCAATTGTGGAAAACTTATTTTTGCCATTTGCTTTTTACATGCTACAAAGCAATGCTGTCTAAAATTGAACTGCCGCTGTGGCACTAAATTCATGTACGTTCAGTAACTAGTTCCTTTTAACAGGGTTTAATCTGAAAAGGTTAAATAAAGAGACAAAACTGCGAACTGAGAACGAACACAAGCTTTGCCACCAAAGTACAAAACATTTTAAAGGCCAAAGATAACTTGTAAAAGTGTTGACTTTACTTTACACAGATGTTTGTCTGTGACAATTTGAGGATTATAAGAATGTCACTTAATTTTTAAATGTAGATATAGGGAGATTAAGAGAGCAGCAAAAATGCTGTTCTCTTTTCTTTTTTCCCCCTGTTCTCTTTTCTTAAGTTATTTAAAATGTGTTTTTTATATTTTGCTTAATAGCATTCATTTAATCAATTTTACTGCTAGATATGTACACTCACAGGTGAACATCTATGGTTTACAAATATGTCTTAAAATAATCAATTAAGTTTTAAGTAATCCGTGTAGCTTAATATAGTGTTTTACCAATTAAATTGTGTGACATTCAACTACTGAGATTGTGAAGACTATATGGGAGGATTTCTAGATGTCATTTTTTACTATTTACATTTTATTTAAAAAGAAAAGCTTCTAAATGTTTTTGATAACTCAGTTTGTGTCACAAACATTCAACAAAAAATGAGGAAGACACAGAATGCCTCCCATCTTTGGTTCTTTCTGATGAATCAGCATTGAAAGCCAAATAAAAACTATAAAAGGAGTACTGCACTCATTTGAAGAAAGGACTTTCATCATCGTAAATGGTTTTCCACAATGGTTGAAATGTCTACATTGAGTGAGAATGTCAACGCAGCTTCACCTAACAATGCTGCATCAAAGTCGCTCTCCTATGAAGAAAGAAAAGGGAACCGTGCTGCAGCAGGTGAGAAGAACATCATCTGATTCAGTCCAACTAAGACGTCCACATCATCTGATTCAATCGAACCAAGACGTCCAATTTAACAGTGACACTGCCCTTAGCATTAACTGTCATTAGTTTCATAGCTAGATTGTATTCTTATGATTTATAGAATTTAAACTTTTAACCTTATAGATTATCAGAAAAATGTTTTTAACTGTTTCAAGCTTTTCTCATTAACAATGTTTTTTGTCATATAATTTTCAAAGCAGCTTCACTTTTCTTTCAAAAGCATTGAAAAAAGGATAACTTCCTTTTCTTTCATGATTCTCAGAAAAATAATTGAAATTAATTTTTATACTCTGATGAAGAACAGAAGCAGGACATAAGGAAACAACTCATAGTAAAGTAAAGTTCTTTATGATCGCACTTCGCGAAATTTACATTCAAAATCAAAAGAAATATCTTTGGTAATAGAAAAGTTTAGTTTTACCACAATCAACAGTTCATCAGGTCCAGACTGAACTGACCAGAAATGTATCTACATCATGTTCTCTGAGTTGATGCATATTGACTTTACCCACAGGAGCTAAACTTTACAAGCTGGTTGCAGTCACCACTGGACTCATATGTGTGCTACAGACAGCTCTCAATATCTCCCTGTGTTTTGCCCTATGTGAGTATTCTTTGCATCTTACTGCGATGAAAGCTTTTTTCACTGTTTGCAGTATTTGAAAGCAGCGTAATGCTATTTTCCATTTTGGTCAGCTTTCCCCCTTACAGCATTGTGCTGTAAAAAAAATTCTGGTTAAGCATCAAATCCATTTGTGAAAATAGCTTAGTTTTGCATTTCACTTCTGTGAATAATATGATTATCACTCTCCTAGAACTTTTGACTGCTTTCTATGGTACAGCTGGGCAATACAATCTTATAGTATCTATTTAATAAAAAACATTTTGTAAATTTAAAAATTCCAGTGGACAATAAAGGAAACCAAGAACCGTCAGTGAGGTTAAGATCTTACACCTCTTTTTCAGACAATAAATCTGGTAACAAAACCCTGACTGAAGAGACAGAAGAGCTCAAGAAAAGCTTTGGTATGTATGATGCTGTGTGGAAGGCAATTGCTCAATTGCCTCTGTCACTCTGTTCCCATTTCCAACATTCAAATACTTTCAGCTCTTTTGTGAATAATGGTTTGGAGTCTGTCTTTATGACCATTATATAAATCATCACATCTTTTTGGGAAACGTAGTTGATCCTGACTGTACTGAATAGCCTACATTTCATTAACATAGTATATATATAAAAACGAAGTTTATCACAGGATGTGGATTTAAGGTTATTCTTTTTTTTTTTTTTTTAAATGTCAAACACGTGCTGAAGTCATAAATCTTCCAGAAAATTAATATGTAGTACACAAAGAAATCTGTGGTAAGTATGATGTAGAAATCAGGTGTCAGGACATAAACTCACCATGACTGATTTTTGATTATCTATTTCAGAAATTGAGTCCAGTAATAAAAATATAACAGAGGAACAAGATGAGCTACAGAGAAAACTGACTGACTTAGGTAATTATAAGGAAACAGTCCTTTTTTATTTTCTTATTTCAGCTTTGAGATCAGGTCATACATTCATTGCAAAATGCATCACACAAGTAGTTACTGCATGGGAGGGGAGATGCTTTTCTAGCATTAAAGATTCAAAATAAAGTCTTTGGTGCTTGAAACATGAAAAACAACATTCAAATTAATGCATATAATATGTCTACTCCATGTTGAAGTTTCAAAGCATAGTTTCCTGACTGAAGAAATAAACCAGTTGAAGAAAGTCTGTTTAGGTAAGTGTGATGTGGAAATGACCAATGTCAGAATTTGACAATGGCCGGATATAAATCTACAACATTGAGCTATAAAATAATTCAAATCTTTTTTACTCATTTACATTTTTTTATTCATTTTCTATAAGATACTGAGGCCAGTAATAAAAACCTGACTGAGGAGAGAGATGTGTTGAAGGGGAAGCTGAATGACATTGGTATGTATGACGATAAAATTGTTTAAAGTGATTTTGCTCATCATGACACTTGTAATATGATCTTTCTTTTATTAACAGATAAATATGCACAGGACGGGTGGTTGTACTTCAGAGGTAGCGTTTATTATATTTCTACAATCAGGAAAACATGGCAAGACAGTCAACTTGACTGTTGGAACAGAGGTGCAGACCTGGTGGTAATCAACAGCAAAGAAGAAGAGGTGCATACAGAATAATGTTTGAATAATAACTTTTATTAAATGTAAAAGCAGTTTTGTTTATTAATTTAAAAATCACAACAACATGGCAACTGAATGTATCCTTTTGAAAATAAGGCATAAATAAGGTGTTATAAGGTATAAACAACACTTAAAATTCAGAAAACTTTTTTTTTTTTTCTATCCACAAGGTATTCACGAGGAAACCTCAGAATGTGTTGTGGATTGGTCTTACTGACAAAGTAAGCGAGGGGCATTGGAAATGGGTGGATGGGACTCCACTGACACAAAGGTTCACACATTTTCTCTGATCCATTTCCATCATTTTATGACTGTGTTGATTAATTGTGTTAGTTGGTGTAGTTTTCTAAAACCCTGTTGGATTGTTTTTGCTTTCAGCTACTGGTTCTTTGGAGAACCTAATAATTTCAACGGCAGAGACGAAGATTGTGCAGAAATACAGCAATACAACATTGAACGCAGCTGGAATGATGTCACCTGCACAAATGAGAACTTCTTCATCTGTGAAAAGAATTTCTTTTTTAATATATAAGACTATCTGTTAGCAAACCTGAAATGATTAGACGAGTTTACTATTTCAGGTTCAAATCTTTTCTTATCAAAACAATATTATTGTTCAAAATGTAATTTGTCCAATTTCAAAATCAATGTGATTGCTCATCATAGCTTATCCATTATGTAAAATATTTCCTTATCTTTCCAATGCTACACTTGATCATTTGACTGTGGCTCAAAAAATGATCTGTGTCCAGAATCTAAGTAATTTCAGTTGTAAAATGTACAATATTCAGTTTGATATTTGTGAGAAGAACATTAAAAACCAAAGGCCTCTTTGATAATCTGCAATGATAACTAGTGGTTGGCTCAGTAAAAAAGTTGTTTTTTTTTGTGAAATGTTGCTTCAGTTTGTATCAAGTGTTTCTCCACAGTAAATGTGTTTTTCTTATGCTAAAGAATGCTGTAGATTTTTTTCAGTGAAACAAATAAAAAATGTTATCTTCACCTACCATTCAGTTTGTTAGTATGTGATTGCAGAGGAATGAATATAAACCTGCAATATTATGTTTTCAGTCAAGGTGTATTTGCTTTTTCATAATAAAATGCATAACATTTTCAGCTCCTCCGGCCGTAATAAGCATCAATGTTAAGACAGACACTATCTAAATATCTTTCACCAAAATAACTAAGGACTATGGGGGAATTACCACTAGAGGGCGATGAGCACCAACTAATTTCACTTCCGCAAACAAAGAACGAGCTAACTACCAATCAAAGAAGACCCCAGTTTTAAACATGAACCGATAGTTCCTTCTAGTTGTTAACGATAACTAAGTCCATACCGACGTTCACTATTCCGGACAGGCCTGAGATTTTTAGCCTAACGGGGCAATTTCACACCTGGTCTTTACTTTAGGGCTCCAGTTGTCCTTTGTCCACAGTCGTTTCATGGGAACCCAAGAGGGAGACAGAAGTAAGGCAGCCGACACTTCTGCCCGGGTGGAAGCTAACGACACGTAACGCTATCTTACAGCTAACGTTAGCTCCTGAGCGTCCTTTGCTTCCCTGTTTTCATTGAACCTGTTATAAGCTTTTTATGGTGTAGATGTTTTTATAATGTTAGAGTGCTTTGTCCAATTGTTACCTGTTCTGACAATGTAACCGATAGCAGATATTAGCAACGTTAGCTAGCTACTTTTATGTCAATTTAACCGACAAAGTTGCTGTAAACAGTTAGAGGTGACTCCAGTGCTGCAGCTTGGTTTATTTGTTCGGTTTATTTTATTTAGCCGCCCCTAATTTGTTATGTCATTCATTTTTGTCGGATAAAACGTATATAATATTGAATGTCAACTTAATCGGTAGTTTTAGGTGTAGGTACCAGTTGGTGTAAGGGGAAACTGGGTCCCCGCTCTAACCCTGAAGTTTACCGGGAAGTTTCTGTTAAGGCACATACTAAAATGAGCCATTGAACGGGTTCTCAGGAATATTACACTATTAAGTTCTGTACCATTCGAATTCATCCACGATATAATGATAGAGTAATGTATAATTGTATTGATTTGTTAACTCATTTGTTTTCACATGTGAAAAATTGTATTAAAACTAACTGCTGTTTTTCAGTAAAACGCTCTCTTCACCGTGTTCCTCTCTCTTTATAGATTGGGTTGATGTGGCTAATGATCTACTCAGCAAGTGTCACATAAACCTGAGGCTGAAGAAACTGACGGACTGTAATGCAGATGTTTTTATCGCTTTGTATGAAAACATCTTTGGGGAAAAAGTCCCAGGTAATGGATCTACTAAATATCAACATAGCCAATAAGGCCATGTTGATATTACATTTTTTCCCCTTCTGTTTTATCACTGATAGTGATTCACATCCTTTCTTTTGAGAATTTGCAGAGAATCTCAGATAGAATTATGTTTTCAGTACACTAATATATGCACACAAAGCAGTAAATGGACTTGCAAAAGTATTAGCCTAGTAGTGGCTAGAAATTGCAATTGTTGCCAAGTCTATAAAAAATATATCTCTAACAATTTGGTTATTGGCTCAGACATTTAAATTTGAGGATTTTGTGTTCACGTGATCTTTGGAGACTGTTTAGTGTGTTAGGAATGCTTCCCCAGACCAAACATGCCATTATGAGGCAGTTAAAGTCCATGATATTGTTATTGTATTACCATGCACTAAGAGAGTCTAAAAGGAAGCATACATTATTTAACAGTAGTCTATGTGAATTTGTGTCCCTGTTTCTTTAGTTTTGTTCAGTTTATGTCCTCATTTGACTGTTAACTAATGTTTTTGTCACAGCTTTGGATGTTCATGTTTTTCTATTTTTACATCTGTGTTTAGATTTTGTTGCAACACCATGCAGTCAAGAGGATGATGTCCATAATGTTCAGTCTGTGATTGATTCCCTGTCTTTGGATTATCTTCAGATCAGCCTCTCACACATTACAGGTTCAGCAAAAAAATGTTCATTTGTTAAAACAATCTATATTTTTGCCATTACCTTTTATCATTTTCTTAGGCTATATTCACAAGTTGTATTACTATTTTTTCTTTTTACTTGAAAAGTACACAGTTTAGAAAGCAAATGTGTCTTTGCAGGAGAAAATGTTGTCAGAGGGGATAAAGAGTCAATTAAGAATCTCCTTGAAATCTTCGATGGTCTCCTGGAATATCTTAATGAAGAGATTGAGGAATCACAGAACATTGGTAAGATAATTTTGTAAAAATGATCAGACCACAGTCTTTTTAATGGATTATATTCAATTATATTTTGATACACACTGTCTATCTGTCAAAGCCTCATTTATATTTTCATTTTTTAGTTGATGTTGTTTTTATTGTTCTTAATGTTGGTCCTGTGACTGAATGTGTTTCTTGTTTTTAATGTTTCAAGACGCTCATCACATGCTACACGTCCAACTATTGCTTTTGCTCTTGAGCTTTTCTCCGTTTATTGCTTAGCCCTCTTGTTCTTGTTTTCAAAAGAATTTAGTGACACACTCAATGTGGATGAACCTGCTGAAACTAAGAAGCCAAGTGTCGATGCCACACAACAACAGGAGTCAAAGGAGGAGGGGATGTCTGTGTCATCTCATGGAGAGTAAGATCTTATCTGCATTCCACAATCACTTAAGAGAGAGTGGTTTATGTATTTTAGCAGCAATTCAAATCATGCATTGCTGCTTTGGTTTTTGTAAGACTCTTCAGAGTTTTCCCAGAGTAAACAGTGACATTTCTTTTGATTCCCTTTTTAATCTGTTACTTTACATTTATAATGTACAGTTAAAGGTCATGTAAGAAGTTTGACAACAATTCTGTCTGCATATCTTTTAAGATTAAACAGTTGTTGTATGGTTGAATATACCTTTTATAAAAAAATTATAAGTTATAAAACCCCCAACTGTTGATTGTCAGGTTTTCTACACATCTCTCTACACCTCTCATTAACAGTTTGTACAGATCCAGCTGCTCATCTTGTTGACACAACATTCTTCAGGGATAACGTAGCAACACTGTTAATACAAAAGGTTAATACAGTGCATTGGAAAATGTTTCAGATCTTTTCAGAAACATAACACAATACTGGCATTGTCTGTATTTGTATCTGCCCTTATTAATAGGGCCCAAAAACACTTGAGCTTTTGAATTTTTCCAAAAGAAATGGTTTGCACTTTAATTTGATCCAGTGTCCAAGTTTTTCTATTTCTCCCTCTCTCTCTCTTTCTCTCTCTCTCTCTCTCTCTCACACACACACACACACACACACAAGTTACTGCCCATATCCTCTTACATATAGATGATCATATATGAGGAACACTGGTTTAGTCACGCTGTGATCGATTAGATTTATTTACTTTTAGATTTGTATTGATTTATTTTCTTAAGTAGCTACTAAAAAAAAGCACAATTTTAATCAAGCATTTGTGATTTGTATGGTCAATACCTCTGTGCCCCTCCCTACTTCAGGCAAACACTGGGAGACTTTGTATCGGTGCATTACATAATGATCATACGGGTGCATTGCAGCTGATCTGATAAATTAGGAGCCTGACCAGCTGACAAAGACCATGCAAATTTAAGGTATTCTGTAGCTTTTGATCTGATTGTGATAGCTGTGAATTTAAGAAGATGGATTAAGTTCTCACAAAATCAAATACCTCAACCCAAATTCAACTTTAGCCATTTATGATTGCAGTTGACTATCAGGGGCAGACCTAATAATAAGGTACATTTGAAAATGTATGTGTTTTGAAAAACAAAAAGCAGCTTCAATTTTTAAGAAGTCTAAATTTAACAATTTAAGATTAGACTGAAAAAAAGGCAGTGTTGGAAACAAAGTTATACTTCAACCTTTTTAGATTCAAAGTTACAGATGTCCTCCTGGTTTTGTCTGGTTGGATTTTCATGTAAAATGAGAAAGTTGGATTGCAGCTTGCAAGCAGGAAGTAAGTCTACCTGTGGTACATTATTTATTTCCTTCTTTTTCAGATCTACTTTCCCGTCCGACAAACAATCCCTTTATTCTCTGAATGCTGAAGATGTGGAATCAACGAGTGAGCCACTCGAGCTGGGAGTGTCTGCACGTACATTTACAGACAGACAGGAAGGTAAAAACATGACCCATTAATTAATAATGTCTGTGTAACTCAAATGACTTTTGTGTTTTATAATGTTCACTTTGGACATAATTCTTATTTTCTTTATTTTGCAAGGGCTGGTTGTCCCTGTCCAGACTTCAGATTCAGCCGATCCCTCAGATCCAGTTGCCATCAAAGAAGCTCCACAGACTGAAGTGATGCATTCTGCGATACCCTTACAGCCCCCCCACCAAGGCAACGCTCCCAATGGTCCTTCTGTCACTTCTGCTGCAGGCCTCAGTCGTGGGCTGTCTGAGGACACTCCTGCTGCAAAAACAGAGGTAGTCTGTCTGGTTTTATTTTCAGTTTAACTTTTTTAAAGTCACATGCAGACTTCAAATGCATACACACCACAGGGTTAAAAAAAGAAGAAAAGAATCATTTGTTGGATCTCATCAGGTCATAGTCATCCTTTTCACCAAATGCAACTAACATTTGCTTTTTGTTACTTAACTTTAATATTTAATTTCTTTTGAACAAATGTTTAATAATAGATGCTAATGATCCCTTATTTCCCCTTATTTATTTTTTATCTACTTATCATTCACTGGGAAATCACTGAATTATCACATTTACAGAATCCGTTGTTGTAAATTGGCCAGTACCAAGCTGTCCTCATATACATATGACCAAAGCTTTGTGGTTGGTTAACCAGATTAACCTAATGGCGACAACCATGACTTTGTGTAATTACAGGTACTTGTTTTCTGACTTGATCCATCACCATGGCCAGTGTGTTTTGTTCATTTTCAGTTGGGTTTCTAAAAACTTTAGAAAGATTCAAGTTGGCACTAAACTGTCATCTGTAGTTATTGTTAAGTAGTTTGCCTCAGCTCAGCTTCACATTGAATTCAGTTCTTTTTAACTTTCTGTTTTCACAGACGTCAAAACCAGCATCGGAGACTGTAACCAATGGAATAAGGTGTCCTGCAATTTGCCCGTCACCTGGTGAGTCAGAATCCATGATTCTTCTGAGCCATCGATTATTGAATTAACAAAGAACGTTTTAGATCATCAAGAACTGTGTTTGTGCTTGACTGTTGGACCTCACAGAGCAGCTCTCAGATTTTACAGTTTTCCTGTTTCCTGAGGAGTTGCTTATTTTTTTGTGCTTCCAGCTGTGAGTGAGAAGTCTGCATCCAGCCGGCAAAGTGGCAAGGCAGAGGAGGAGGGGGAGTCGATAGAGGTACGAGGGCAGCACATATCTGCTTAATGCCAATTCTAAAGCCATATCGACAAGTGAAATCAAATAATACCTTTTCTATTTTTTACCAAACCGTAGCCAACTAATGGAGGTCCCAGGAGGGTCTTATTCCGCACCCAACCAGATGTGCTCTTCCTCACTCTGCAAAATGACATGATGTCGATCACCCCATCCCCACCAGACACAGAAGAGGAGGTGGATCAGGAGGGTCCGAGTTCTACTCAAAGATTTAAGGATAGAGGGATTAGTCACAGACATCGGACAAGTCTTAGGTGCTGAAGAGTTCAGCTGTTTGAAAATAAGTTTGATTTCTTTACAAGTTTCTTCCATATATGTGAATCTGATGTACTAATGCTCGATTTAAGGGCACCTCGAGAGGATGAGGGTTTGTCTAACCGCAAACGGAGGAACAAACGAGCAGAAGAAGAGCTGCATCACATATCTGAGAAGCTCTCCAATCGGCTTGAAGAACTTGATCAGGTGAGTGTGTTCTGTAGCTCTGAGATCAGTGAAGCTTTAATTCAGAAATATTTTGAATTGAAATACTGTAAAATAATATAAAAGAAATATTCTACTGTACAGGATGCCTGTCAATTAGTGTTTTTAAGGTTTGTTTAAATCTAAAGTAAATTTTTGAAAATTACTTCTTACTAATTAAAACATACAGAGAATGATTTAGTATGTGAACAAGGTATAAATCCCTATCAATTCAAGAAGAAAATAGAAAATGGGTCATCCCCTCTGTTGTGTTTGCAGTTCAGAGTCCTGCCTCTCCATAAGATGAACACAGCCTATTGTAACTTCATTTTGACCGACTCTAAAATACTATGATGAAATATAAATGGTGTTAAACTTTAAAAAGAACTAGTAACTCTGGGGAAAACTCTCTCAGTATGATTAAAATGGCCGCTTTTAACACAAATCTTTGTCCTGTGGAATTTCTCCAGATGCTCAAACAAGTTTTGGGTGAAAGTGGAGATTCCAGAGAAGTCAGACAGGAGGATAAGCAGTCCCTCCTCAGTGACAGCATCAAGGAGGGTGGGAGCACCCCCAGACAACACACAGGTATGCTCTGTCTAAAATATTATTGAGGACTTTTCTCTGGAAGGGCACATTTTTAATATTCTGTGAAATGTATTTCTGAAAATGTTGCGAGACGAATAGATATTTTCTATTTGCCTAATTTTACTCCACTGTTGGATTAAATTGAAATAAAGATTACCAGCTGCCTTTTTTTTTATGTTTTCTAACTTGATTTCTAACATTTCCTGGTTTCAGGAACACCTGATCGTGAACCCACTCAACGGACACGCTCCCCTTTGGAATCCCCTTCTCGAGTCCGCCGGTCACTAAATGGATCATTAGAGGATGCCGTGGCAGAGGCTTTGAGCCTGAATGATGGGAGGCAAACAAATGTCACAGTGTCTGGTCATTCATGGGGACGAGAACAACGCCACAGACTGTCTCACACAAAACATAGCAAGGTTTGTTTCTCTGCCCACTCTGCACAATGTAACAATACTGTCTCCCTCTGTGAACTGTTACTGACAATTCATTGGGTATTTTCAATGAATTACTTTAAAGAAAACAACAATTTCTCACACTGAGAGTTGCTATAGTTGGCAGACCATTCAGGAGATTACTGCTGTTAGCAGTGTCTGTCTCACATGCTCTAAAAAATTATCACTCTCTTCACATCAGAAGAATAATGCATTTGAGGAGGAGTTGAGAAGATATGAAGACAAAGAGAGGGCAGAACTACACAAGGCCCGTCTAAAAGCTCAGAAAGCAGTAAGTAGTAAATGTGATTTTTACTGTCGTACAATTTTAACAGGCACACCTGCTTGTCATTTTAAGGTCAAATGGAAAATAACAGCATGGCTGCTGCTATTTCTATTCTTGCATCCCCAATAGAAAAAGCATAATTTTAACCATGTTTGATTTGAATCATAATTATTTAAACATGTGTAATTAGACTCTGTAGTTTTCTAGGATAAAAAACAACAACTTTTGTGTTGATTGTAGATTTAGTGATGACCATTACATTGATCTGTTTATTACAGGAAAATGTGTGAATGTCAGGTAACCCAATAATGAGAAATCGAACTGCTGAAAGGTGACAATTTTGAGCGCTTTCCTTTAGGTTTTTAAGCAGTTGTTTCTTGTATACTAAAGCTTGATGATGTGCATATGCTTAGGAACGGGATTACAGAGAGGCCATTCTGGAGGATGTCTCCCATGTGAGCAGGCAGTCACCAGCCAAGACAAAGCACAGGACACGTCATAGCACACACACCTCGGGAGGACAGGGACACCAAGAAGCCATCAGGAAAGTTGCACCAAGTAAGTTTTTAAGCATCAATTTAGGCAACGTTTATAGTCTGCTGACTTTGTGGCATTAGCTGTTTTCCTCCATTTTACTGTCCAAAATTAACTTGTATTAGAGGTACTGATCTGAGGCTAATTATAACTGTTTGAAGAAGCACTGTCTCTCAGAGGAACTGTTTTTTTATTCACTCTTTTACATGCAACTAACGGCTTGTATGGGTAGAGATCTAAAGAAAACTACCATATTTTTATAGATGGTTGGGCATAAAACCTCTCGCCTCTTTCTCTTTGCAGTGAAAGTGAAGGAAAATGATCTCCTTCCTATACTCCGAGAGGAGTTGCCTCACCTTCACATTTCTCATCACACCCTGAGTCGAATGTGGGAGCAGCAAATGCAGCAGGTGGACCGACTCCATGCCCTGTCGTCCTCTCATCGTCAGCATCACAGCAAACTCCCCAGACAGGTGGGTCAAAATCAGCGAGAAATCAGTCCCTTAAAAGATTGACATGTATTAACATTCAATGCATGTGTCTCAGGTGGAGGAAGCCCAAAGAAAATATGACCTGCTGGTGGAGCTCATCCGTAAAGACCAGGACCACAGCAAACGCCTGGTGAGCACCAGCACTCCGACACAGGATGCTTCCTAACTTTATTAACTGGGGTTTCAGTCCACGCAGAATTGGACTCACGCACTGGCGTCCCTCATTATCCTGTTAGTTACAAGCTGAAATGTTTACTCTCCAGAAACAGTTTAAGGACCGAATCCAGCAACAGAAGTCACTACAGAACAACCTGAGGGACCAGAGGCAGCAGGTCGCCCGTGCCAAGAAGTACCACAGTGACTACCACGTTCAGCACCGAGCCCGCCTGATGAGGGCACGCACTAAGGAGGAGAGGGTGGGTAAAAAAGATAAATGGCCGGTCATAACTTTGTACTTATAGGTGTGTAGACTACACTTTCAGCTAACAAATACTTTAGTCTCTGAAGTTTTTTATGTTGTACGTGTATTACAATTTAAAAAAATCTGAAGGCTTATTTTAAAAGTTTAAAAAGAAACTCGGTTGAAAGTAAATGTGACAAAACAGTATGACTTTTTCCAATGCTGACAAAAGATACAACTATTTCAAAAGTACCGTAAACTATAGAAACTCTATGGCCCTCTTAAGTAAGGTGATGGTATGACTCAGTTGGTGTGCATATATTTAGATGTTTCGGCAGCTGTTCTCGGAAGGCTTGGAGTTACAGAAGACGCGCTTAAGAGAGCAGAGAGCTTATGCCAGGGAGCAGCGACTGGAGCATCAGAAGCGTCACCAGGATGAGATCGAGTCCTTGGAGAACTATTACAAAGACCAAGTGAGCCACAAATGCAGTACTCAATATTCCCCGTCTGGAAGTCCCAGGACTGTCTGCGTAGTAGCAAAACTGACGCCTAATTTCTTTTCTTTCAGTTTTCACTGCTTGCTGAAAAACTTGCACTGGAGCGGGAGGACATCCAGGTTCGGAAAAAGGCACAAGAAAAGGTAAAACATTTTTGTTTGAATTTTATTATTTCTTATTTAAGAGGCAAAATTCAACTCCTCAGACTTGGATAAAGTACTGTAATTTGTTCTGTATACCAGCAGAGGGTGCTATTTAAATGCTGTAACATGTGGCATCCTTTCTCTAGTGCTTCTGTAATTCCTCTTCTTCTCTTGTGATGAAAGTTCTGAGGATTTATGTGCTAATCTGCCTCTCAGGAAGTAACCCAACAAGGAGCGGTACTAGTTTCATCTGATTGTCTTTACACACTTACAAATGTTTGTGAATCTCTTCAGGTTCGTTGTCCTAATTTATTCTCTGAAAACATTTTTTAAATGTCTTTTTTCTCCAAAATTATTGTTCCAGGCTCTGCTAAAGATGAAACGAGAGCTGCGCTCCCGGATGGAGCGTGAGATTGGTGAACTGCAGAGAATCATCATCCAGAACGATGAAGAGGACCATTTCCAGGATCTGGAGGTCCAGAGGCTGCGTAATCAAGTCCACATGGCTTCGTTCCAGTACAACGCCAGCTATATGCATTGACTGGAAAGCTGCACGCATTTTGTTTAAAGTAAAAGCTGATTAACGTCAGCAGAGAGAGGAAACTGGATTTCAGCTCTTCATAACTAAGGGTACACAAATTGGACGCAAGAACAGCGGTCTCCTCAGGCATCTTCTTTTTTTTTTCCAGAGATGTGCACAGGAAATTTACATTATGAGACCTCAAACAAATCCTGATTGCTGAATATTGATGAAGTGAAAACACTGACAAAAATGTAGCTTTTAGCTAATTTAGCTAAATTTTCCTCTCACTTCTGCTGCTACACCTGAACTTACGACACCTTGGACCAAGTCCCTTTTTTCCTTGGATCGAAGAATTTTCTTAACTAAGAATGTTTTAACTCTCTAACTGTAAAGTAATTGTGTTCATTCGTCGTAGGAAAATAGTCAGGTGTTCTTTCTCTTGCCAAATAAGGACCACAAATGCAAAGTTGCATTTGCACACTGAAAAGACTTCACCTAAAGTCTACTTATCCATGAGATGTCTTCCTTAGTAGTTTTTTTAACCATGCCATTGCATTATTTATTTAACTTTAATGTTTTTTAATTAAGATGATCACCAAGGGCAATGATAAAAAGTCTATAACAACCTCAACTTAACCTCTCCTCCACAATGATTATCTTCTAATTCCACCTTGTGACCTTTTCAGACAAAGTTTCCTGGTAATGTAAACTCTGACATTGTGTGGTGTAACTTATGAAAACACATCTGCCCTGTCAACCCCCATTAAATGTGTGGACACTCTCCTCACCACAGTTTTGATTTTTCAGTTGATTACAAAGGGTAAACATTTCTTTAGTATTTCAAGATTTCTAAAATGAGTTGTTCCATCCAGGAAATAAAGTCTCTAGTCAAAGCTGAACAATGGTTGTAACTCGGCCTGAAACGGTTCAGAACATCTCAGTTTAATTTAAGTAGCTCAAAATCCAAACAAGTTGTCCTGAAATACTTTATAAAGAAACACTGTTTCCTTTTAAAAGACCACCTTGCATTAAATGGGAGGGAAATCAAGTCCCATTCCCTTTTTATACAGGGGTAAAGTTCTCCAGCAGAACCAAGCTGCCATCAGCCTTAAAGGCTGGAATGCAAAGACACAAGCAGAAAAAAGCGGAGCATTTACTTGACAGTATGGCTGAAACTGGTAAGTAGAGCATAGGGTCCCAACCACAAAAGAGAAATAATCTCGATATATTTCCTTTTTTCTTTTTTAGCCTTCCTTGAAGCAGGGTGGGGAAGGGGAAGGAGTGGAATGGATTCATTTGGTGGTGCCACCAAAATGTGTGCAGATCATATGTTTCAGTTTAACCAGTTACTGGTGACAGCTGTTAGCTTTCGATGTGACTTAAACAATATTGCATTAGCTTTCGATGTGACTTAAACAATATTGCATTAGGCAGAAAAGCAAGTGGCATCTTCCGGGTTTCCGACAGTTGTCATACTAACAGCAACCACTGATTCCATAAGCCGCAGGGTCACAGGTTTAACTGTAACACCGACACAAACAGAAGGACACAAAATGTGGTCTGCTTTTCTTTCTTTGAAATTCCAATAATCTGTCAAATTTGTGTTGGAATTTGTGTTCTGAAAACGCAACCAACCACCAGGAAGTAACGGTTAAATTAAAAAATGACCCCGGATACATCCATCAGGGATGAAAATAAATTCTGGAGATCATTCCCTTCCTGCCACCGTTAATCACTCTGTGACTGTAGCATGGGAGTGATTAGGACAGCGATCACGCCGAGCTAACAACACAGTCCTTGTGGAATGTCCCTTTGTTGTGGTGATACTCCAGGAAATGAGTGGGGATATGAATTGGCAAGATGAACCGGAGCCACACAGCTGCATATGTTCTTCAAAATGTTTCAAGAAAGAGTCCAAACTGAAATGTTTACTAGGTAAATGGATAAACTAGCAGAAGGACCTGTTTTTTCAAAACTCTAATTAAAAACAAAAAGACTAATAATATAAATCATCTGACAATATAGTTTAATTTTGTGAATTCCACAGGAGAGCTCCGATTTACCTCTTGGATAGTTAAAAGCTGGGCAGAAGCAGTTGAGTCCTGCTCAGCTTCATTTGATGAATTCATTGCAAACAGATCCCCATGCACACCTCCACTAAAAAAACTAACCAAAACACATTGATATTTTAATAATAATCCAAGGTTTTGGTTTTATCCTCTAATATGAATGAAAGCAGCTATTTCAGGAGCGGAGGAAGGATTCATAAAATATTCAACTGCTTTCAGCTGAAGAGACTCTTTTGTACGGACACCTGTATCAAAGGTTTTTTCTCTCTTTGAATTATTAATATTTCCTCAGAAACGTCATTTTAACATTGGACGAAATACCCAGTAGACTTGAACGCATCATGTGAGCGTTACGATGCGAAGGTTTACTTTGGGCGTTGACAAGTTCCCGATTCGGGAGTTCGACAGTGTTTTCTTACGTAAATATCGCGATAACTTCCACGAGCGGCTCTATCTTGGTGGTGAATCTGCATACCGCGGTACAACAGAATAAGGTTAAACCAACCGTCAATAAAATCATCCGGGTACCATGACAGTTCAGTTTTAGTGACACCATAGTAACACTATAGGTAAACAATAGTCAAAGTAAAACGGATTGAGATCTAACATGAGTTTTTGTTTTTACATAACTGAAGGGACGCAGAAAGGTGTTACTAGCTTAGATAACAATGGAGGTAACTACTCAGAATGGCCTTTACCATTTACCATTTTACCAATTGTTCCCAATTGTAACTATCATAGTCTGTTGATAGGTGGACGGTAAAAAATAAAAATAAATAAATACAAACAAAACAGGGACTGTTGCGAGGTCAGAATTGTTGAAGGGTTTGCTAGGGTTACCATTGAGCAGTTTAAAAGCTTTAGTGCACAGAGGACCAACACCCACGACGCTCCAGTTAGCATGGACACCGCCACAACTCTCCGCTACCTGACACACTACCTGATCACCAACCTTTTAACCAGGCAGAACTGAGAGAGTTTTGCAGATGTTTGTCACACTAGTCGCAATGTGAACATTAAAAAAAAATACCCAAACTATAAGTTGCTAGTTTTATATTAAAAACTGTAGCTCAGGGTATTTACACATGAAGGGAGCTTTACGTTTTTCAAACAGTGCTTTATTACCAGGTGGGAAAAATTGTAAGTAGTCAAACGTAACATTCATGGTTAGCATTCATTGTTATCACGAGTAAGAATAAAGGCTGACCAACTTTTGCAGGTTATTTATGTGGGCCTACACTGTTTTGATCAGGCATCAGCATCGGCTACTATTTCCTTGTGTCAACACCAAATCTGTCAAGATTTAACATGAATGACTAGCGCGGGTAGTTTGAGAACAGTTTTTGTTTTGTTTTTGTACTTTACTATAAATACCGAGGAAAATATTGTAATTTAATATTCCGATAGCATAAGCCAAGAATCATACTATAGGAACCATGCAAAGCAAAAGCCACACAAATAGAGACAGGTAAGTCAATCTGTTATTACGCATCATGTCAGCAGTAATCATCTATCTAATAACCGGTTTCAGCTCTAACAGTTCTCCACTGATTAAATGCATATCCCACGTTTATTCTGGTCTTGTCTTGGATTGTTCCACTTTGTCTGTCTTATTTTCGCTTCCGAGACAGGAAACCACAAACCTGAACTACTGGAAATGGGCCCCAGGCATACCGTTGTGAGTAATGAACGTCGGCGTGCAATAAAGTCAGAACCAGAACCCCATAAATTTAATATCTTTACGGTTTCTCTGACTTAAATTTATGTTTTATATTCAACTCAAGAATATCCAAAATCATGAGTGACTAGTGTTTATTAAAAATTAACATAGAAACTTTAAAAAAATTTTATAATACATTCATGGTCAAATAAACTGAAAGTTTTAATTATGAACACCGAATTTAAATCTCATACATTTTTCCAAAACATTCTAACTTGCTGAATTTAACAGTTTGTTTTCTTAAATCTTTGTGTCACTGCATGGAAGGCAGAGCAGCAACAGCAGCTCCAGGCTCTGACTTTGACTGCAACCTTGCAGGTAAACACTTGCCACGCCATTCAGTATTATTTGAACTGTTTTTGTGTTTAGATTTGTTCGAAACATGCATCCAAATGACTTTAGGCCAAACATAATGCAACACGGCGAACACACCCATCCGTCTCTGAGTGTGGACAAAAAAACAGTAATACATTAGGTTCTATAAAACATACTGCTGTTAGGTCCAAACAGCATAGTTTTATTGCTCAGCTTTCTGCAAGGCTATAAGAAGTTTCTCACTTTGCGTCTTTATTGTCTATATGTACAAGTGTCAAGTTACAAACTCACAGAGCAGCTGATAAGGAAACTATAACCAGATGTACTGTCATAATAAATACAAAAACATACAGAAGTCCAAAGAAAAAAAAATAGTGCCATTAAAAAAAAAGTCAATTAGTTTTGCTTTCAATTAAAAGGCAATTGATACTCACACACAAATTTGCACATAAAATTTGGAAGAAAAAAACCCTTATGGCCCCTCGGGCCTTCACATAAAGACGTGTGCAGTACACTTCCGCTGCTTCAAGTTTTATCGGTTCAAAGCTTGGGGCAGCTTCTTGTTGTCTGGAACCAGTTAAAACATCACTGACTTGCAAATTCTCCACCAGGGTTGGCTTTCCAATCATACAGACAAATCTGTTCATATCACAGACATCTTGATTTAAAGGGAACGTCATCAAGACTGATCAATTCTGGCATTTAAACTGAGGAACAGGGGGAAAGTTTTTAGGTATTGCAAAACTTCTACACTGAAGACTGAACCAGCCAGAAAACATACAAGAACAGAGAAGAAGTGGACTGTACGGTCAGGTCAAACATACGTGTGTGTATTATGGGTGGGTGTACATATACTGTATATGAAATCTACATAAAAAAAAAACAACAAAAAAAACATCAGTCCAATAACTATTTGGTAAATAGAAGGAAGTGTTGGATTATAAATTCAAGGCCATGTATGCATAATGTGTGCAAACAAAAAGAGAAAATAAAGAATACCTTTGTCTGCATTTTTCTTCTGCATCAGAGTGAAGTTGGAAATGGTCAAAGGAATTCACTGCAGCTGTACAAGAACCACAATTACAATGTTTTTTTTTTGTTTGGTTTTGTCTCGTGTCAAAAACAAAAAAAGATTAATGGTTGAAAATAAATGCAGGCGGTAATATATGCAAATGTAAAGTGTGAAACAAATTGTGATACTTTTTTGCCAAGTTAAAAATAAGGTTTTCTGACAGTAAAATTAAGCAAATAAATAGACTTTATTTCTATAGAATCCATTCATGCAGTGGATTTTTTTTCTTTTTTCTTTTTTGGTTGTTTTAATAGATGGAGGCTCTGATTGAGAAAAAGCAGCTCCACCCCGCTGCCTCTCTGGTTTTAAGTGACGCTTCAGTTTAGTTTTCACCACCAGTTTTTATAGCATCCAGGGGTTCAGCGGCAGCTAAACTGCATCTCTGATATTTTGTTGATTCCTTCTAAAACTTCCACTGAAATAAACTGCTGGTGTGTACAATACACGGTCATCTATATCAGAGCAGCAAATACTCACTGCATTCAGCTCTGAATGTCTCTGTTCCCGAGTGAAAAACCAAAATGTCACTCAAAACTGCTTTAAGTTTACTCTGTGATGGAGGCAGGACTGCTAAAATATAGTTTCCTCATGTATAAGCGTATTGTATGGACAATTAAAGAAAACATTTAAAAAAAAGACAGCTTCACCTGAGAATGCAAAGAAGTCTGCGACAGACATCAACATGCTTTCATTTAAACTGAACAGGGATCAAGCAACAATATACAAAATAACTATGTATTTGTACATATATACTCAAAAAATTACAAGTCTATAGATATTTTTTACTTCGTGTATTTCTATCGTGTATGCAAGCAAAGGAAATCTGATATATTTCAATCGAACAGAAAGGAAGCACTCCCGTCATCAGCGCTCAGTTTGTAAAGTGCTCTTAAGTGTCACAAGAAAGAAAGAAACTTAGAATGACGTGACTGAGAAATGTCATCTGCGCTGATTTTTTTCATCCTTTTCTTTTTAAATCAAACGCCGTCTCTGTGGACAGATGTGCCTTTCTCACATTTGTCCTGACGTCGTGTGAGCCGGTAAAGCTTTGATAGATATCACATACGGGCAGACAAAGGTGAGAATAAGAGTGAGGTTAAATCAGTTGTGCAGTGAGACGCCGGTTACTGAGTGGGTGGAGGTGAACTGCACTGTGCCTACTTGTACACACGTGGAGACGCATACAGACACAGATGTTTACAAGAGAGGTGGCCACACTGCCGTCGATCACTAGAGAGAAACCTTCTTCGTCACCAGAGTCCGTCCCCAAAAGCACCACAAAGCCTCAGGGATGCTCCCGAATGAATCTGTACTGTTCTGTTCCACTTCCGGATGATACGCTCACTTTTCAGTCACTATGGTTATACGGGTACGAAAAGACTGCTGGTGGAAACAAACCGATTCTGAATCAGGGTTTAAAAGCTTTTTGAGAGCGGGTTAAATCATCACTTGAACGATGGTGCATGGCATTTCAGAATGAAACCCTTCAAATATAGAAGCATAACACTGAGGTAGGATGAATTCATGTTACTCCTAACAGGACGAAGAACGCCAACGGTGCAGCCACGGCGACCAGCTGTTCAGGTTGAGGTTTAGATGGTGGCTGAGGGAAAGATATGGCTACCTGCAGTGTTAACAAATCAGTAGCATGACACGGATCAGTCAGTAAAAATCTGAGAAACTAAATAGTGAAGATGTTTGTTACGTGGCTGAGAAAAACTTTAAAGCGTTTTTTTTTTTTTGTAACACGTTGAACTGTAAGCTGATGTTTTCAAACTCAATCAATAGGGAAAGTCTTTCCTGACAATAAGACTAAAGAGAAAAAAAAAATCCACTCACAACAGAGATGTCAAACTAAAACCAGAAACACAATGATAGGACGACCCTTTAGCAGCTGTTCAAACAGAAATCAATAAGGGGAGAACATGGACAGCGGTGAAGGAAAAGGAAGAGGAAGACTGGATGAACTGAGCGAGTCCATCTGCGCGCTGCTGTGGAAAGAAGTTCATCAGGATCCTGCACAGCTGCACGTGTTTATGTGGAAACTCTCCAACTCGGCTCTCATTCCACTGCGAAGCCGCACGTCTCCTCAATCGCCGTCAGTAGCTTGTCATATAGTTTGTCGTAGCTCTCGTAGGGAGGAATGTCAATCCGATTGAAACTGGAAAAAGATAGTAAAAACAAGCATTCACATAGATAATAGGTTCTTGATCAAAGAATGGACGGGCATGCCGTTTGGGCATGCCTCTGCAGGAAAGTCAATGCTGCTTAGAGCCGTGAATCTTTAGCTACTATCCAGGTCGATACTAAATTGTTCTTGTTCACGTACAGGAGAATCAATATAGTGTAAGTGAAAATACAATACTTTCCTAAAAGGGCTGGCAACATTTCAAAAACATTATTAGTTATCAGTGAAGAATCCTAAAGAGTTGAACGGTTCATCAACCATCTCAAAGACCAACACAAGAAAAAAAGAATTGAATTTTCTCTAATTTCTGAATCCAACAGAATTTGAATTTGAATTTCAATAGGAACACTTTTTCATTTAATTAATCATTTTGGATGAAGCTAGTACGCTTAGCGATGGCTAAAGTTAATTCAGCGTAAGTTTCACAGCACTAGTATTGTAATGTGAATCTGGGACATTTAAAAAGAGCAGAGACAAATTATGCCAATAAGGATGGATGGTCTGTAATAAGGAGTAAAAAGGTCAGAAACACAAATTCTCAGGAGACAGGAAATTTTGTCCTCCATCCTTTTTGCTGGTGTGAGGTATGCAGATGCTTTTGTGTGTGCTGGTGTGTTTGGGGCGCACCAGGTGTGGGCTTTGGGCAGATTATTGGTGTTGGCATCGATCTGATGGATGGTGAAGAGTCGAGGTCCTGCAGCACCTGCAACCACAACACAATCAGGATCCTGCTGCCACAGCTTAGCTTGACATTTAACTGCGAAAATGCATTCAATTAGGATTTGACCATTCAATCATAACATAATTAGGAAAATTGCTTTCAGAGCATTCAAACATCAATGAATATAATCAGTTGTGACAGCCTCACAGGTCCTGGTTTTAGTTAGAATTTGAACAAAAGAGAACGATTAGGGGAAAAAGAGATTGAAAAAGAAGGAAAAAAATCCCCTCGGGGAAGTGGAACAGAATGTGAGCCAGACGTGGGGGTGGATCTCAGCTTTGTAATGTTTGACTGAGAAAAGTAGGAGTCGCTTTAAGTACCCTGTAAAGCCTTGAAGCCTTGCAGTGGAACTCTTGATGAGCCTGTGACAAACTGCAGCAGTCGGGCCCTCCTCTCCTCATCAAACGACTCGACGGCTTTCCAAAACCACTTGACGATGTTGCTGTCAGGGGTGCAGTGCTTCAGACGGGTGTTTGACTTCCAGTCAGCGATATCGATCTTTCCCAGGCCGCACACTATCAGCTGAAAGCAGACCCAAACTGTTAGCTCGGCTAAGAAAACATTTTGCAAAGGAGTTTTTAAGAGTGACACGAAAAAACCTTTTTGCCTCAAAAAGGAAAATCACAAATGACGTGCGGTTGTGAAGTTTGGAGTCTGTGATTGGCAAAGTGGGCCTTCAGTGGACCGTACCTCCAGTTCCTTCTCGTCAAAGGATTTGAGCAGATGCTGCGGGATGACCTCATTGAAGCCTTTCTGCAGGGCTAAGAACTGGGCCTCGATGCCATGAAGGAAACGCCAGTTCACGTACAACCTGCAGAGTGCGAGAGCGTGTCGGTTTCTGAAACTGGATCGACGAATGGCCGGCGCCGCTGCAGAAACCGGGAGCTTCGTTTGGTTTGTCGCTTTCTGTACCTGACATACTCCTTCTTGGTCTCCTCCGTCACTGGGATGCTTTTGCCGTTGGGCTTGAGTTCGTGTGGGATGATTTCACCGTAGGCGTTGTGCTCCACGCAGAAAGTGTGATCCAGGACGCCGGTGATGTCGTTGTCCCTATGCAGCAGCAAGAGGCGGAGACTTATTCTCTTTTAACAGCAAGTTTGAAAGATCAGTATCGACAACATAGGGAAATACACCTTAAATACACCATTAAAAAGATGAAAAGACAACGCCACAATGACATTTTTTTGTCCGGAAAAAAAAGAACACCTTTCTAAGCTTTTCTTTTTTTAATTCACTGTGGAGTATTAACCCAAAAAAAAAAAAGAAAAAAAAAACTTCTTACAGAATCCAAACAAGACTGTTGTGCAGGTCGGGGTCGACGGATTCCATGTCGTCCAGCGTGATTGGTTTTCCCAGAAGCTGTTTGTAGAAGGGCAGAGTGAAGCCTCCGTCTATGTAGTGGCCATGAAACACTGCCATGCCCATGATGCGACCCACAAAATGAAAATATGACAGGTGCTCCTGCGGATTAAGACAAAAGTATTTTTATATTCGGATTATTCACTTTCAACTAGGTTCAGTCCAAATACAAATAATTTGAAAATCTAGTCACGGCTTTTCAGTAAATCTTGGAAATTTTTAACCAAGCTTTTTTAGCCACTTTGGCCATAAACACATAGAAAGTTCTATCTGTGATCCTATCACTATAAGACATTATGAAGACGATGTAAAATGATCCTACAGGGTTGACAGCAGAGTCGGGGTTAATCTGTAGGGTGTAGATGTCATCTCGGGAGTACTGGAACAGGCCGTAGTAGGGGTTCAGCATCTCGTGCGATAGCAGGTATAACCACTCCCTAGCACATACATATGAACTACATGTGAATATGTGGTCCAATCAGAGCATTACAAGCATAAACAAACATTTAATGGTCATTCCTAAACAAATTACCTTGCTACCCCTCCGTAGTCTAGTCCTTCCTCTCCTCTGAATTTGATCATCAGTCTTTTCCAGAGGTCTTTAGGGCGCATCTTCATCACCTGGCGGTATGACTCCTACAGCACAACAGCAACGTTAGGATTGAGTGATGATTCGAGACTTTAATTTGTTTAAACTAAAACTTAAAAAAAACTTGTGTTAACACTTTAACACGTACGTTTGGTTTGGAAATCAAACAGGCAATAACCTAATTATTACTTTTTTTTATTTTTTATTTTGTACTTGAGGTCATACGGACTCTATTTGATGACCAGTGAGCTACGTAATATAGTGAGAACTGGCTCCCAAGAAAACAGGCCCCATGTTGAAACACTAGATGGCATGAGGCTGCAGCACAGCTCCAGCCACAGCAGAGACACGACTTTGATGCAGCTAATGGGGATGCTCTATTCTGTAAACATGGCAGCTGAGATGAAAAATGCAATGTTCCGTTCACACGGAGCTGTAAAGTGAAACCACTAAGAGCAGCAAAAGAGGAGCACCCACGTGTACCCTCAATTACATACAAAATATACATAAATAATCAAATAAAGCCTTGCTAGAAGTAAAAGTTAAATTCACTGAATGAAACTGCCCAGCTTTAGCTCAGATGGTGGGGATTTACCTTCAATGTGTGTGTGAATTTATGAGCAGCACTAAAAGCTAAGGGGGGGATTATTTGAATAGCAAGCATACATCAGTTTGCAGCACACATCTCGTAGCGTTGTTGCTGCGTGGTAATCTGCAGCACTTGTTCATGCATCGAAACTTTTAAGTGGATCTGCAGAGCAGGTTTTCACACTTGACTTCCTCCTTTCACAGCTGTCACGTCAAAGTGGGATGAAGTCATAGTTCTCGCTGCTCGGCTTGTAGTTATGAACTTATGTCTGGCCACAAATACTTGCCACTGCTGTCTTCACTCCTTTTTTTTTTGCCTGCTCCACCCCCTCCCCCCATTACTTTAGTTGCTGAAATCACTCAGAAAGAATGCCTCTGCCTCAGCTGAACAAATGATTGGGAGTGCAAGACAAAAAAGGAGTCAAAGGAGGGGAGGCGAAAAAGCTCTGTGGTGTTGTGAAGACCACTGTTTCTGCATTTCTCTGAAAGTCACAAAGTTCTTAGTACTGGTTCTGTACTAGGCAATTTCTGAAGGACATCATAAACAATGTTAAAAAAGTTATCTTAAAGGCAAAAATATATGGGTTTGTCGTTTATTCAAATGTACTGTAACAGTTCACTGCTGTTACAAACTTTTTGTTTGCTTTAGGCTGTGTGTAGATGTCCTAAAAATGTTTTGCTTTATGATGAGACACATCAAAATATTTTTTTGGTTTAAGATATTAAAAACAAATCTTTGATAAAAGCCTGAGTGCTATCAGTGTAGCGTTTGAAATAATTAAATACTGAAGTGCAGACCAGCTTAAATTATTTGACATAAAGTGAGGATGTAATTCTGCTTTTTTTTTTAAGTCCTCAGTTTTTATTGCCTCAAGTATTTCAGACTAATAAAAAAAACCTTTTTACCTCAAAGATCTCCTCGCGGCTGACCTCGATGCGGCAGTGGCCCGCCTGCGGCTGGTGCTGAGAAAGCTCCTGTCGCAGGATCTTGAGCTTTTGAACCAGGTCTCTTTTGTATTTGGGCACCGTCAGGCACTCCACCTCTTCAGGTAACTGAGCTGGTGACAGAGCTTGCTGAGGGACCCCAGGACCACCCTGGTCCTTCAGCTGAGTTGGGTGGCTAGAGTGAGAAGAAGTCAGCAGTGAGACTCACGTAAAAGCTCACTTAATAGTTTGACAGCTGCTTTTTTCCTTTTAAACCATTTGTAAAAAAAATCCATCTGTGTGATTGCAGTCATTTACTTCTTTGATTCTGTCAGAGTTATATAAATACAGACCTATGTGTTGTATAGAGAATTCCCAAAACCTTCCATCTCACATATCCTTTAACCACTGACCTGGGAGTTTTGTAAGAAATTCCCTCTCTAGCCCTCAAACTCCCAAATGGTCTCAGAGCAAAGAATACTAAATAGAGCCTTAAACCCAGGGTAAATCTGATCCAGACCAGTGAACAGACAGCGCTTTTGACAAGACATTCAGTAAATATCACCACCAGGAAAGACACAGAGGGGGAGATTTAACCCTAAGTAAGCAGAAAGAGAGACAAACATGCATAGAGGAAGAGAACATTCACAAAGGAGAGAGGCACAAGCAGAGCTGGCGCCTAAGGCTAGCTTAACTGAACAGATAAGTTTTGTTTTCTGGTTCTCTCCATTTTGCTTTTCCAAATTCAGCAACAGTTTTTTTATTTTTTATTTTTTATTTTTTTTAATTCAGTCTGAATCATTATTCCAGCTGCGTGTCTGTGTCTGTCTCCAGTCCATGACATTTATACTTCCTGTCTAAAGACTAAGAAGCTCACAGTCTGGAATAATTGCTTGTACACTTGTCCATCACTTGACCACTGGACCGCCATCTTTCCATATGCTTCAAAGTTTTTTATACATATTTCTGAAAACGTGTACTTTCCCCACCAGAAGAACACTGTAAACAAAAACTAAATTTCTTTCATGTTTGTATTGCAGCCTTGTTTTGTGGGTTAACACATTTCCAGGGTGACTTGTAGAGAAGAGTGTGAGCAGCAGCGAGCAATTCCGTATAATGAATTTAACGACTGACCTTTATCCCATTTTGCGCTCATGACCTTCTGGTCTTGTCAGAAAGAATCAGATACAATCTGGACAAAGGTGAGCCTTCTAGTTCTGGCCTCTGCTAAACCACACTGTGGTGTTGGTGGTGAAAGGCTTGGGTGGGCCTCATAAAAACACAGTCTTTCTCTTCAGCAGGACACCAGCCTCAATTTTCCCTCGAGGAGACGCTGAGCTAGCAGAAGACTTCCTTAAAAGAGGCTACTGTCCTCTGTTGGGAGTGGACTGTCAAGGCTGCTGTAGGCCAGACAAAGGGGCCTGGATTAATATATGAAGGGAGGAGGGGGCTTTTTAAGTCAGCAGCTCATAGGCCTTTTTCAAGCCAGAGCCAGTGAACCCAAGCATACAAATGTTGGCCCGAGTGGATGGTTATCTATCCATTTGGGCTCTCCAAACTAAACGGGTGCTGTGTTTCGCCAGTGTATCCCTGTATAATCAAGTCCACTGCTATTTATTTTACTGGCAGGCACTGGGGCTCCTAACATGTCAAAGAAAGGGAAAGACTGCAGCAGAGCAGTCTTGAAAACCACTTTAGGAAGGAGGATGGCAAGAAAGGATGCCTCAGAACAAAATGGAATGATTTCCTGCTGGCTAGAAGGTTCAACAACCATATAATAAAGAGTAATTTTAGCTCACTCTTTCTTCAGATGGTACAGTATAATTAAAAATATTTTTCAACGTAGTTAAGCGTTTCTAGTTTCCAAATGGGAAGAGCTCTACATAACTGATGGTAAATATAGAAAATACATGCATACAAAAGAATGAAAACATTTTCCAAACCAAAAGAGGATTTCTGCTGTAACAATCTTGCTCGAAATAAGATCAAACAGACATGGAATTGTATCACTGTCAATGTAAGACAGAGGCAAGAGGGAGAAAAGGAGCAAAAAAGTCAAAAAATGAAGATGCAAACATTTGCCAGAGCTGAAAAGACTCCCACTCAAACCTGTGTTTATTAAGCCTGCAGGGTTGCAAAGCTCTGTGGATGAGAAAGTGTGCTAGCTTCTTTCACACAGCAGCTGGCTCAGGTGGAGTGTAATTGTTGTTTACTAAGTAAGTACAGTGGTGTTAAAGCCACACCAGCCACATCAACACTGCCCTGCCCAGAGAATCAAAGGGTCCCTTCAGATCCCTCTGTATTTTGGATAAGTGAAAAGAACAGAGAGAAAAAGCCAAAAAACAGGGGAAAAAAGCATGACCTTTAACATTCTTCCACATCTGCCCTATCTAAAACAACAGAAATGACAGGAAACCAGATGTAGACAGACTGTGGTCACAAAAGCGACTGCTAAGAAAAACGTGTCACATTAGTTCTTTGAAAGAACACTTTCAAAGAATCAAAGATTTGGAAAAAGTTTGCACTGACGATGGTATTGGTTTAACACGATTTTTCTCTGTGTGTGTCTCTCTCTCTCTCTCTCTATATATATATATATATACACATATATATATAAAACAATTAGCATTTCTTAAAACATAAATGCAAATATTGATATAAATGTCACAAAGATTTACAGTTCGGTTAGGAAAATACCTGCTGATACCCACTGAATCCAAATCCAGCAGCGCCTAAAAATACCCTCAGCAAACACTGATGTAATCTCTCAGACATACACTTTGTGCTGGTGTGAGGGAAGTATGTGAGAGACAGTGTGGCAGACCACAGTAATGCAGCTGTGTCTGCCTGTCTGACAATCCAAGGCCTTCATCAGCTGAGGTCAAAGGCAACAGAGCTGTCTGAGTCAAATTTAAATCAAGTGTATCGGAGGATGAGAGGACAGAGGTGCATACTGTAAATGCATAATGTACAAATGAATGATCTGTGTGGCGCATCTAATCGTGTAGACAAAACATGCTCTGTTTTTCAGTCGGGGTAGAAAGAAAAAAAAAATCAAGTAAAAATAAACTACTATAAAGACAACATTCAGGAGGAGGCAAAAAAAGTAGGATTTTTTTTTTTCTAAGTTGGGAGGTAACTTTTAAAGACATGAAAATGCAGCACAGACCCGAAAGAGCAGCAAGTAATTATCAGTAAAATCTAAATTCTTTTACCGATTCATTGTCGAATTGTAAGAAACTTTCAGGATGTTTCCCAAAAGAAAGAAGGTAAGTTAGATGGTTTTGGTAGACAAAGTGTAGCGGTTTTTTATTTTTGTTTTGTTGTCATTAAAAAATAAATAATTAAATACAAAAAACAATAACTTAAGCATTGCTCCACCAAATGGCTCAATGGATCAGACATATGAAATATATCTGTTTTCACACATGGAGAAAAGCTTGTCCTTTTCAAATTCAGCTCCTTTACCATAGCTAAATGACTTTTGGGCAATTCAGCCAGTTGAAGTTGAATTTCTCTCATCATAGACCAGGACATTGATGACAACAGAATATGCACTCGAATAGCGAGGACCCATTTCACAGAGGAATAAGTGAGGAAGTCAGGAAACCATCCAGCATGGCTGCAGGGTCATCATGTCAGTAAGCTATGTGGGTGTTGGGTGAAATATTCTTTAATCCTGATGTTGATTAAAATCACATATCCTGAACTGAACCGGCTCAGAGGCTGATGACAAATGTTGGAGCGCCGCAAGTAATCAGGGTAGAGGAAGGAGAAGAAAAAACTAATTAAAAATTTCAGAATTTAAGCAAAGATGAGGATATGTGGAACAACAGTCTGGAACTGGTTTGATTGCTTGTACTAGTTTCTCTTTATATACCAGAGGCTACTGATCCCAATCTCCAAGTCAAACATTTTTCTGAGGATTTCCTAATAAGCAGAGATGTTTTTTTTGGCTACTGAAAGTATTTATTTTCTTTTTGGTTAGAGCTGTCTCAATTTAAATCTTCAAATAAAACTTATCAAGTAATTTTAATTGAGAAAATGAATAGATCAAAAATGAATAATTTAAAGAGCCAAACAATGCACGGTATCAGTGGACCACCACATATCAAAATCCGAAGCCTGTTTGATTTGATTTGCTTCTCCACGTCCGGCATCATCCCCTGGGCTGAGAGTCATCCAAAAATTAAACATGCAAATATAGAAAGTAGGATCTTACAATAACTATCTTAAAATTTAAACAGTGCTTTTAATTGCATGTGCAGCAACTGGAAGTTCAGCTGAGCCATGTTTACATTTGACATACAGATATAAGTGTTACATGATGAAAAGCTGCATTACTAATTAAAGCTTATTAATTCTGACCTTTTCATAGCTGTACTACTTCATCTGGACTCCATCAAACCTCTCCTAATAAGGAGCCAGACAAGCAGTTAATGGCGCTAAGGGGATAACACAGCTGAGCTTCAACTCCCAACCAGAGCCTGTTTGGACACATATGGATACTATTTGGCCAAATGACCTGATGTTGATTTCCTAAACATGTTTATCGTGCCAGGCACTGTTATTGCAAGAGGTTTCAACAGAAACAATTGCACCAAAGGAGCAGAAATGGAAATATCTAGATGTTTCTCTTTTTCAAATAACTCCTGCCTCATATGCTGGCAGGCTAACAGTACAAGGATCTTCCAAACAGCCAAAACCATTCCTCTTTTTTTTTTCCATTTAGTTCCTGTGACTTACAGCCCCTGCATACATGAGAATCTTTAACTAATCTTCAGGGAGAATAAACGAACTGGTGCTAGCCTAACCATAACGGCTGCTGTGTCGACAAATGTTTAGCACATCTCTGTGTGGGGTCTGCATTACAGGCCCAGCTTCAACAAGGCCAGCTGCCTCTGAGCTTCAGTGAGTGCAGCTCGTTGATGAAAAGCGCAAACTGACAGTCCCTGATGTGGAGAACTACTTACAGTGTATGCATGTGTGCAAAACTTGAATGGCATCCACGTAAAAGTTAGCTTTGATAGGAATGTGCACACATTTACAAGAACAGTCACAGGCTAGATATTCCCATTTGGAAAACTGTGACCGTCAGCATTTTCCCCCATAATATTGTTGGTGCGTGTGTGTCGTGCTCTTGGGAATTAAAACTGATTTGCACAGACTTCTGGAATAAGTATGAAAACATCTGATTGCATTGTTCTTATGCACGTCGCAGACGATGTCCAGCCATGCATAATTTATTATCTGCCTGCAATTATGTGAACTCTCATGTCCGTCTGTACAAATGTGTGTATTTGTCTGCATGTGTGTGTGGGTTACCTGAGGTTAGTGTTTTGGCTGTCCATGGCCACACGGGAACCATTTGGACTCGGGCTGCTTGAGAAAACAGGAGGAAAGAAAGGGAAGAGAAGGCAGAAAAACAAAAGGGGACAGCAGGAGAAAAGGGCATAAAAAACGTGAATGACAGAAAAGTATTGGAACATTGGAAATGGTGGTGTGATGAAAAAGGAAAGAAAAAATATCGGATTGGGACATAGAGAAAAGCATACAGAAAGGACAAAAGTTCCAATAGCACAATAAAGGGGAATTTTGATGAGAAAAGAACACAAAGCAGCAGCAGAGATGAAGAGAAGAACAAAAAAAATGGTTCAGGAGACAGGACAAAACATTAATAAAATGAGAGCAGCATTGGTGAGAATGATGTGAGAAAAAAAGATAGAAGACCATCAACAGAAGTGTGAAACAAATGGAGGATAGGGGCATTGATAAAGAGGAAGAAACCCAAATATACAGTTAGATAAATTAAGGTAAAAGCTGGAATTATAATTTTTATATGGTATAAGTAAATATCTTAATTTTTACTACAATAAAATTTTTTATTAAATTGGACCACAAACTATTCTGAGTCATCCGATCTAGCATTCTTGGTTTTTCCTGTGTGTCAGTCGGTTTATTTTTTATAATTGTTGTCATGATGACTTTAAACCAAAAATCAACTTTGCTTATTAGTTATTCAGTTAGTGATGCCTGAGTTTTTACCATCAACAGCCAAAGTAGGTAGGCAAAAGAAACTGATATCGGATAAATAACCCCCCCAAAATACCCAGGACAAAAACAGGACAAAGATTGCAAAACAGGCAGAACTTTTAAACAGCAGGACAAAAAAAAACAAATGGCATTTATCTGACCAATTTGGTCACATGAGCTTTAAAATGGACTGATTCACTCACTTGAGCACTAGATGCAGGTTAGCAGACAGTCGTGGGTCTGTGAACTGTGTTGTTCGATTGTTGTGATCCACAAAGTAGACACGACCAGTGGCAGTATTTCTGATCTCCCAGCCTGGGGGCAGTGGGCCCAGCTCCTCACAGTTTACATTACTTAAGTCCCTGAGCAAAAACAGAAAGGATCCACACTGTGTGAAAACCAGGCTTACTGATCCAAAGCTCAACTATATAAAACAACCAAGAAAATCCTTTCCAGTCTTGCATAACAGACTACTGAACCATCTTACTGACTACTTTCAGAGATGATTAGGCAACTGCAATGTTCATTGTTTACTAAAGCTGATCATTGGGATTTCTATTGTACTGAACAAAGTGATAAAATACTATACAAAACAGCAATGAAGTAAGAACTAAGGTCTGATCCCATCCAGTTAAGTCCGGTTTGATCAGTTTTAATGTAAATTTGGGCAGGATTTGGATAATAAAAAGCAGTAAACACTGTGGTGCAAATGAATGTGCTTTTGATAAGATAGAAAATAGGAAAATAAGATTCTGGTAATGTCGTGAAAAATGCTTTACAAGTCTGCACAATAATGATGGAAACATATGTACATGAAAGCAGTTACCTGGGTACTCGTGGGTCGTGCCAGGTGCTGACTCCAGTCTGTGTGTGCAGGAAGTAGACCTGGCCCTGCTGAGTTGTTCTTTGCTCTAAAAAAAACAAACAACAAAAAAAGCCATCTTATTTCTAAATGCTGAAAAATGAAAAAGGCTAAAACACAGAGAAAGCAGGCCTCCAGATATAACTAAAAGTGTTGTTTGGTAGTCTTGTCCAGATGGGCACAGGAATGGATGGTGAGTCTGTGTGTTTTGGAAAAGAGGAAGTCTGCTTATAATTTATGTGACAGGCAAACCCTTTGGGGCACTGTTGACCTAAGAGTTTTTGAAGGTGTGTGTGACTGCCAATGTTATCAATTAGTTCCTGTCCCGTCTCCAACAAACCTATCCCAAGAGGATGGGGAAAATAAAATGTGAGGGAAACTTATCAAAGGCTTCCATGAGTGTTTTTCTCCTAGAGTGCCCTGATGTAGCACTATGTAGCCTTTTTTCCCCATTTAGGAAGTAGCTTCCTTTAAAAAAAAATAAAAAAATCCCATTCCTTATTGGGCAAAAAATTCCAGAAATGATCAGTCATTTATTAATGCAAAGTCCTGTCATGAATACAATGTAAACCAAAAGGTAACTGAGGACATAAACAATCTGAATGCAAGGTACTCATTCGGAATAAATCAATGGCTTAATGGGTTTTTGGTTGTGTCTAGGTTATAGATTACTGGAGAGAGTGAGTATATGTTGGCACAAAGTATGGGTGTGGTGTTCATGTGTGTATATTAACAAGTTAATCCATCACAACACCTCCAGCCTGACTTCCTATTGGCACCACACATTTCCGACTAATTTTTCTCTCTCGCTTTCTTCTCTTCGCACATTCTCTCTCATTCTTCCTCACCACACCCAGCAAGAAGAGGTTCAGAGGGTTCAGCTGAGGAAGACAGCTCTTAAGCTGTTGGGCATCAGTGACTCACTTTGTCCAACCTCAACCAGCCTCAGTGGACACAGCATGATCTTTCAAAGGGGGCACAGGTCCAACAGCGCCATTCTGAATCACTGGCATACAGCGCCACACTTAAAATAATAATTTATTTTACAGACTCTGTGGGTATTGTGGGGTGCACTGTGGCCGACTCTAAGAGGTATACTGTTTTATAAAGAAAAAGAAATTGTTCCAGGACTGCTAAATATACTTGTGTAGCTTGTTCATTATTTTCCCCCATATATTTCCTTGCATGCTTTAAGTAAACTAATGAATTTCAGACAACATAAATCAGCCAAAAAGCCAAAGGGGCTTCTTAATACAAATCAAATGAAAAAACATGCTATGCATCAATTTTTTGATGCATTATTTATCTAATGAAAGGTAAAATATTTTAACACTGGACATGTCAAGAAGAGAAGACAGAAAAGGCATAAAACATGAACCAGAACAGCAACGCGCATGAAGTGATGACTGCCGGGGATGTAATGAGTTGCATTGGGAAGAAGAAGGACTGTAGCACGGACAGTAAGCAGAAACAGAGCACAGAACAAGATACAGGTGGAGCAACTTTAAATTCTCCTGTACTCTACTTAGATGTTTAAGTGTTTTCATAAAAAGCTGTCTTGCACCACTTGTCCTCTGTATGTATGTTACAGCCCAAAGAGTGACTAAGATATTGCCTTTTACATTTTAAGAGCCTATCCCAATGCATTAAATCTAAACCCCTGATTATATATGGTGACAGCTTGTCTTTTCTTTGTAGCTTGAATTGCATATGCCCGGTAATGTAAATATGTGTCATAATAACATAAACTGCAACGTTTTTTTGGTTTGTAAAGATGTTGCAGGGATTTCAGTAAAAGCAAATGTTGTTTTGCATTTCGCTCCACTGGTGTTTACTCTCATAATACATTCCACATTCATTCTGGGACGCCATGAGCACCAAACAGCAACAATGAAAAGAACAGAAAAAAAAACTAACATCTTGGAAATTTCTTTAGGTAGCAATATTAGGTTGAGTGCACAAGTACTGACTGACTTCAGTGTACTGCTCTGTGTATGTGCTTCTGCTCCGTCTCTCACCATAACCCTCGGGCAGGTCAGGAGGTGTGTGCAGGTGTGTTCGGCTCATGTAGTTCCGATGCCGCTGCGATCGAACCCGCCTCTCCTGGATCCGCTGTTCGCCTGTGGGGCCGCTAGGTGCCACAGCTCCATTAACAGGCGTCATCACTGGCGTGTTCTCGTCCACCACGCAGCTCAGTGGACGCCCTGATGGACTGGAGTACTCCGATGCTGGTCTGGAGGAGAACAAAAAGTGTATTATGAATATGCACTCTGCTCTGTGAAAGATCCTCTGAGTGTGATTAACAATGAACTTAACAAGCATGCTTTTGGCTACACTTAGACCAGCCTGTGGGACAAAATGCAAAACCCAGACATGAGTTGACCCGGTAAACCTCTGGCTGTGAGGGGAGGTTGCTACCACACCGCTGTGCAGCAGCCACTTGTTTAACAAGCCCTGTAAAGATAAATGTTCATTTCTTGATGACAGTTTTTCTCTAAGTGATATGGCAGATAAAAGAATGCTTGAAAAAAGAAAAGGCAGCCCAGATAAGACAACAGTCTGTGGTAGCATGCCCACTTAAGATTAGGGCGTTTAAACAGATATTCTGATAAACAGAGACAAACACAGTCAGGCTGAACTACTGAAAATTATTATATAGTGTGTATGCGTGCGTGTGTGTGTGTGCATGTGTGCACATGCGTAGTACAGTCTAATCACTGTCTAGCCAGAGTTACTGACGCCTTGGCTATCTAAAGTCTTGGAACTGCAACCCCTCAACTTGCTTTTCTCCCACCATTCTCCTCTTTCTCCATGTTATTTTTCCCCACCTTTGCGTCCACTTGCCTTTGTCCTGTATTTATGTTTCACCACTGTTCTCAGAGCAGTTTTTACATAAATGATAGCTCATCATTATTCTATCTACACAGTTCCCACCTGCTCATCAATCCCCTTACCTTTACCATTTCCACCTCCCTCAGTGATATACTTGACCTTTTCCGCACCAATTTGCATCGATCCAACCTCAGTCTGCTCCGCAAAGGGGCTACTAAAGAAGTGTGGTAAGAGTGGGTGAGGGGATAGGGCGCTTTATTTGCTTACTCCCCTAATGGCTCCACTGATATGGGCCAAGTAGGAAGGCGACAGTTGTTCCTGCAGCACTAAGGGCCAAGTGTAGCCTGGCTGCCTGACTGAGTGACCGGTTTATTTAGCTGCGCGCACACACGAAAATGTTGGGGTGGGGGACTAAGGAAACTGACAGCACTCATTAGCAACAGACTGTTATTGTTGTGCTTCAAGTGGAAGTGCTCTTTTGAAAAGGGAAGTGTGTATGTGTGTGTGTGTGTGGGTGTGTGGGTGTCTGGGGAGGGGGATGGGTGAAATGAAGAAAGGTTGCACTATTTTACATCAATGCAATTCAGTAACATTTAACATCAGCCAAGGATGCTGAATTTAAGATTTTTGTAAATGTACCTGGTGGGCCTCTCCCATTGTGTGGTGCGTGTGATGTGGTTCAGGTACTGTATTCTTCCAGATGCTGTCCTCCTCTCTTCCCATCTGTTTCAGGCAGATATTCAGGTAAACTGTTAAAAACGTCATCTATATCTACAGTCACAAAATGTATGTTCATTTCAAATAGCTCCAGAAAAAAGTACTGTCAATATAATACTGACCCATCAGGTAAGTCATTGTCAAAAAGACGACTGCAGTCTACCACTGGTCCCCCAGACCCGATCCGATCTCTGGACTGAAGACTGACTATAGTCGAGAAAGGAAGGGGATACTGACAGATTAGTGACGTTTAACATGTTACATCATTGACTAAATGATGGGTAAAACCAACAAACTAATTAACATTCTAAAAATAATTTTTTGTAGAGAGAAAACCTTCACCATAAAAAACTTAAAATCTTTCATTATTGTTCAGCTTTAAATATCTCAACTAACATTTTAATACTAGCCCTGGACTGCAACACAAGAGGAGTGAACTTCTAAAGCCAAAAACTGTGTCATTAACATGGGGTTTACTTTATTAGATAAATACTGATATGACAAAAAATATATCTTAGACATACATATGAAATATCTACAATCGTTCAGCTTTTTATCTAATATTTATTTTATCCTGATAAGAGAACCTGCAAATGAAACTGTGTGCTCCTTACCTACGATCTGTCCTCTCACTGTATCATTGTCATTGGGGCCCAGCTTATTCAGATCCAGTCTCTGATCTGCAATAACAAGAAATAACTCCAGACATAATTATGCAGTAACAGGAGAAATTAGGTTTTCTCCTGTGCAACCTCTGAATATTACAGCCACGAGAAATGTCTGTCTCACCATGTGCGCAGGTTGGCTTTAAGTTTAAACATTAAACATTTTGAGGCCAATTAAACATTGGCCTCAAACTAGTAGACTTTGCTGGTAGATATGAAATGAGGAGCACATAAAGCCTGTTCAAATGGGCCTTCAAAGGACTGATGTATATCTGGCGTGAAGGTACAGTAGGAACATGGGGGGAAATCTAAATTGATACTGGTATGCTTCTGAGACGGCGAGGATGGGGGTTGTATATACATGTGCGCATCATCCATCCTGCTGACCAGTGCTGAGACACAATCACAAATAAAGACACATGTGGAAAAAGGTAAGAAAAATAACTGGGAGGGAGGAAAAAGCCAAAGGCTAAATGAGCATGAGGATGAGGAAATAGAGATTTTTCCAAATCAAAATTCTAAAATCAAAGGGATTAGATTTGTTATGTTCCATATGCTATTGTGTGCAAGTGAAGGGTGCTGTCTGTCAATATAAAATTAAAATCTAACCAAAGGTCAGTGCAGTGTGTTTGCATGCACACAAGTAAATCTGGTCTGGGAAATGTGTCTAGACAAGACAGGGAGGGTCTAACTTTAGATGACAAAAATAATACTCAAATTTCTATCTTAAATCAAGAAAGAGCGTTTAAAGACACCTAACCGCGAGGACCTCACCGCACAGATTCCTCAAAGTTCCAAATACCTTACACTATGGTGGAGTAAACTAGATAAATGTAAGCAGACTTGCAAGATTTGCAAGATCTAGAGTTTAAACTTGGAATCATTTAGTTGACATAGTTATGTACCGTACATGCATATTAGCGAGTGTAAAAATATTCGTATTACAATCTCCAAATCAGAGAAAGTAAATAAACATGAAAACATCATAAAAAAGTTGTTGTTTTTTTTAAACTGATGTGAGGGAAGTCAAACTATTTTTAAAATGCCGGTTATGTGTATCAGTAAGATTGTTGGTAGAGATGGGAGGCAGATGACTTGCGTCTGTGATGCGGTAAGAAACAGGACTTGGTATATAGCCAGACAGACATTTGGTAAACTAGACAACCAGACTGGAGGCCCTTTTGTACAACTCTGCAGGATGTGAGGGAGTTTTTTTTGTCTGTATCAGATGACAAAGTGTTACTTCTATATGAATGACATGAAAACCAAGTCAGTTCCAGTAAAATCATTTTGAGAAGTTGTGATGCTTTTGTGGTTTTGTGCGCACATATCTTGCTAAAACCATAGACTGGGTGCTACTTATCTGTCTGCAACACACAGGACAAGGACAACGGGATAATGTGAAGGCCGTTGGTGACCTGTCATCAAGCATTTTTCCCTGTCCACTTCCCATAGCTGAGATTAAGTATAACTTGAGCCACGTTGGCTGTACAGGATGTGACTCATCTCATGACAAAATGGAACATACACTATCTGTCCCTGGATACTAAGGATACATCTAAAAGATTACCGTTTGTTTGGAATGAGGAAAAAGTTAGTACATTATCAAACAAGCTAAAAATGTAACTCCATGTGGTCTGGTACTTATTGAAAGGCCTGTTTGCAACAAGGAAGATGGATTACTGGAAGAGAAGAATGATTTAAGAAATATTCATCTGATGGCAGACACAGTTATGTCTTTATATGTTAGCACCAAGATGGCTGGGAAAGCTAACAAACATTAAGCCACATGGACCACAAAGACAAAATACAGCGTCTGAATATTTCAAAAAAGATTCCAGTGTGGCGACAGTCATGCAGATGGGAAACAGGTCCTTTTAAGTGCGCATGAGCTTAAACGGATCAGATGTCACCTCATGTGTTGCCTAAATTCCCGCCTTTCATCAGCTCCGCTTACAGAAAGTTCTGTTGCCTTAACTTAGCATGAGCAGCAAGAATTGACTGAGACCGAGATGCCAGATGTTTAGCCCAAATATTTTCTGATGCATTGTTTAAAAGGACTTGCACGCGTGTTGTAGACCTAAATTATGTGGCAATGAAAGACTAGAATAGAATTCAGCAGGGTGTTGTAAGCCATCAAATTACTGTCACTAAAATAAATCAATAAAAGGATGATAAATCGGCGAAAAATTGCTGGGCCTCACTTGGTCTAGCCCATACATTTGCTTACCTGTGATGAGCTGAGTGCAGTGTACAAAGAGTGCTTAAAATGGCTCCCATAACCGAGGCCAAGTAAGAAGGTAAGAATGCAGCAAGCGCATGAAAGGACCACACACAGTTACACATTCTTAATGAATGCTTACTGACAAATTCAAAGGCAAAAATATAAACAGGTACTTACAGCCTGTGTCTTTGAGTCTGTTGATTGCGTTGGACAGAAGGCGAACACATCCGAGGAACCCTGCACCCTGCTTTTTATGGATCTTCTTGTGGTTCCATACACTGATGGTTATAGAGTCTGCCTTTCCAATATAACTAACAGGGTATGAGACAAAAATAAAGACAATACATCAAAATGATGGAAAAGAAAGAATAATAAGGAATAAGGAAGTGTAAACATCAATATGAGGATGGGGATCTTGAACTTTCAGGGTTTGATCCTTTAATATTCAATAAGAATTTATAAGAAAGCATTCTTACAGACTTTTACAGAAAGAAAACAAACAAAAGAAGCTTGAGCCCGTTCAATCTTCTTCAAGGATATTGTGTTTGTGTGTGTTTGTGTAGAACCAAGGCCAGACTAGTCGTGGTTGAGGAACAGAGGAAGTCCCCTCAAAGTGATCTACCACTGTCTGAGGCCTAGGCAGCTCTCGCGGTAAACACACATTTCACACAACATTCAAATGCACAAACACTTGCTGACAGGAGTGTAATTAAAGTCTAGCTGTCTGCCCTAATGCCAACTCTATTATCTACATGTCAGCGGCAGTGTGAGGGGATATCCTGTTGAATGTTAAAGCCAAATAAACACACAAACAAACAAACATAAGTACAGTGTGTACACAAAAAACAAAGAAGTTGGCAAATTTATAACATTTGTGCATCTACTGATGTCCGTTTGGTTCAGGACTGATCATGAAAGCAGCATCTTTTGCCAGATGAAGCCCATTCTTGGGATGTTTCAATTAATCTTAGAATGACAGGTGCACAATGCTCTAACTGTCAGATATACTTCCCTGCATATTGTGTTATTTGGTGAAACTCAAACTGCTTTAGTGAGGATGCTAATTTCTAATGATTTTCCTCCACAGCATGGTTAAAATGAAAGGTTTGCTGTGATATAAAGCCACATGAAGTTAATAAAAACTGTTGAGTGCAATCTAGTCCGGTACATTAATGGCACATTTGTTAAAAATCCAATCAAAAACATGTTAAAATGAAGTAAACCAATTATATAGATTAAGGGTTGGCCCTCACAACAGACAGAAAATGACAAATCGTCATCACAGGCAGAACTGGTGATGGATTCCTCTTTCTCCTCTTTTCTATAAATTGTATGAAGGTGAGATAAACTTCTCAAATATTCTAATGGCCATCACAGCTGTCATTGTATGATCATACAAAAATTTGTCAAAAGAAATGCCTCTTAAAACTCAATTAAAAAGTCTTTACATTTTTTGAGCAGCATTAAAATCAGTTCAATTTAAAAACATGTTGCACAAGCAGTTGGTTTATTTCAAATACAGGAAGACGGGCTTTCTATCTAAATAGTTTGAGGGTGACGTAGTGAGGGATAGAATCCAAACGACATTATAACTTCTTTCTGCACCAGTCTATGTTTTTATAATGGCAATTTTCTGTTAAAAGATTCAACCACTACAAATCTGTATGTAGAGCTGCTTATCTTTTTACTGAACTAAATGGCTAAATTCAGTACAGAAACTAAGTTTGCAGTAAGGAGACTACTACATCTGTCATTCACACTGGCTTATTTCAAATTCGAATGTAGAGGAAGATGAGAATGGATTGGTACAGGTGCCACTTTTCTCTGTGCTATTAGAAGGAGTAACATAGGCTTGCACATAAAGGAACGGAACAGGCACAGAGCAACATATTCCTGCCAACAAGAATGGTTAGGCTCAAAGGGCTGGAAACTGGAGGACAAGCATGAGGAAACCTCCCAATTCAATCCATGCATTTACAATACTATTTTAAAGGCAGATTGGTCCCCTCAAAACATCCTCAACACAAGACATCAATGACGATAAATATGCATCATCCTTTTAGAAAACTATACCATTTTAACCTAAAAAAAGTTTGCATACATTGTCAAACCAAAGCCAAAATCAGTGTCAATTGGAAAAAAAAAGACTTCACCACCTGAAACTGCAGATTGGAGATGGGGGTGTGGTGAATTGGCAATATGCCAAACCCACACTCCCATCTGCTTTCTGTGGCATGTTAGCCATTTCCTGAACCAAAGGAAGAGGCCAAGGGTTGCTGTTAAGGAAAATGCTCCTCTGAGAGTGTGGGGAGGTAAAAAGGGGATTGACAATTATGTAAAGTGGGTGGAGATTTAAGGTTGACACAAGCATGTGAAAATGAAAGTGTGCACCAAAGCAGCTGGAGGAAAATGTGACAGGCAAAAGGTAGTCAGTCATAAATATGGTTTCTTTAGCTTGGATTAAAGCATTCCATCAGTTAATTCGGACTAATATTGAGTTATTTGCTCATTCAACCAACAAATCATTAATTATAAGAAAAAAAATAGCTTCAGAGCTAAATAATAAAGAAATACAAGCTACCGTACATATTTGATCAAATATTGTAATAACTAAAATAGCTTTACCATCTATTTCTTAAAACTACATATCTTAAGTGTCATCCATTTTCATCTTAGAAAAGGTGGGCAAGACAATCTCCAGCTTACAGGAAATTATTTTCAGGTGAAAAAACTTGTTCAATAAAAACAGCCATCCGTCCACATTCAACTTTATAATGTTCATAATTAAACAAGCATCACAATTAAAATAAAATACCTTTCACACCACAAAGCCATGTTGGTATCACCCTCATCAATTTGATACTTCCAATGAAGACTGCCTTATTACTACTACTTACCTATCTTTATCAACATTTATCAAATGTTGTCATTTGTCATCATTCCCCTCACAAATGAAACCCCAGGGAGGCTTTTTCCAAACGCATACAATTATTTTGACAATTACAACCTTCTATTGGAATCTGTCATCTGAGCAAGAAAAAAAATATCCATCAGCATGAGGTAGGTATTTCCTCACATAATCTTACATAAATATTCCAGTATAAGTAGGTGTGGAGAACAGAATGTCTGTAATGTTGTTCAACAGGATGTTACCTTATGCTCATCAAGATTTTAAAGGGCGTTTCTTCCACTAACAGAAGAGGTGACTGAATCTTCATTCCTGGGACACCTGTCATAGCATTTCCTTCCCTTGACGCATTTTTCAGGACGTTGTGTTGTTTGAAAATAAATCTTTGGTCTCCTTTAGACACAAAGCTCTCTGACTACAGTTTCAAGTCGGGGCTGATTACTTAAGTAACATGCTGTTGATGTAATGCAGGTGATTTTAAACTCTTTGCATTTAAAAAGGACATTTGCTTTGTTTGAATAAACAGTTTTTTCTTTGCAGATTATTCTGTGGACACCAATATTAAAACATAGGCACAACATAACTCGCGCTCTTATTTAAAGGCTCCCTTACAGACTTACAGATCATAATGTTGATTCCATTTTGGGTCGAGAGTGTTTCTCACAGTATCTGTAGAGTGGCATTGTCCTGAACCGTCCACCACCACTTTGGCAAAGGGATCTGGCAACCCTGAATGCAGACATGGACAAAGGAAAAGGTGTTGTTGTTTTTTTTGCAAGTGGACGAATATAACGTGAATACAATAACCTTCTTGTTGAGGAAAGTGGTGTTGGAGCACACCTCAAGTAAAACAGGACACTTAGGCTACTCGGATTTAGCACAGGTGCATAAACGGTTGTTAAAAATTATTCATAATTATACACAAGTCGTATGTAGGACACAGCTGCACCATAAAAACAGTTTGATACAATTTAATCTCCAAAAATGATTACCCCTGCAAATTCCTAAGGATACATAAAATGTGAACATTTGTCCATACATGCCCTCTAAGGGTCCTCTGTCCATAGATATGTGTAAAATCACTGAAATATGCACCTTATTTAATTTATTCTAAATACAAAAATATCACACACTTTTAATCAATGCAATACTTGTAATGCATTTACATCAATCTAACTGAATATTCAATTTATATATTTTTCGGCAAAGCTCACTGAGGTTTCTCCCTTGTCCCAAAAGTGTGTCTTGTTGTAGCACAGCTTTCATGTTCTGTACTAAATCCCACCAAACCTGCTGTTGCCAGATCTTGTGACAGAGACAAGCAAGCCAATGAAGGAAAACAAGCTTGTGCTATTAGGAAAACAAGTCCAAAGTGACTCAAACCTCTAGAGCCTGTAGAATCCACCATAAAGCCGCATGTCTGTCAATAGATTAACCGAAGACTACAGTAGTACTAAGGTGTATGTTTACATAATGACATAATGTGAGAAAGACCAGCACACTACTAGTGCATACTCTGAAAATGACCTTAGTTTGGTCATTTTACTAAATTTTTCAAACATCCAAATCAGGATGAAAAAGTGGAAAAATTCCATGCATGTAACATTGTTGTGTGATGTTGATCAGAAACTATTGGACTGAAAATGGAGCAGTTAGCCACATGTTTAATTAAACCATTTAAGTCTTGGGCATCTGCACCAGTCCTGTGTGTGATGCTTATTATGAGAATCTAGGTTAGCAGTGGATCCCTGTGCGTGCCATAACAGACAGACAGCTCCAAAGGGGCTTCATTTGCTGCACAGCTTCAAAAGGCAGCAGGCTACTGATGCTGACAAAATCTATTCTAAAGCAAAAGGAGCAACAATAGCAACATACAAAAATAGTCTTTACTTACGAAAGAAGTCTTTCTTTGCCAGATTCTTCGCACACAGGACTAGAAAAAAAAAAGACGACAGTTGTTATAACAGGTTCAATATTACATGCATAGAAAAACTTCAAGTATACACATGATGGTATGCTATGCCTTATGATCTCACATTTTTTACCTATGTTTCCATTATATCCCTGCTTGCGATTACACACACTAAAAAACATCCCTCCAACTTTTAAAGATCATTTTAAAATTGCAATATTTAGAAATAAATAGGTTCTGTTTCTGCCTATCATGTAGAAACAGAACACATGAATCCGTGGCTCATGCCGTCTTGTTGCCCTCATTCTGTTTGTGTGCACCTATGGTTCTTTTAAAGAGCTGGGAGACCATGTAAAAGTTCCTCCCTGTAAAATATTGATAAGACAAGTACTCCATCCTGTATGAAGCCAGTCTACTAAGCTGTATCTCACCGGCAATATGCAGTAGTGCTCAAACAGAGGGAAAAGAGTAAGGCGGACAGAAAAGTTCCAAAAGGGGGGGTAAAACTTGTCAGATTTACCCATATTAACAAAGGCGGCAAACCCAAATACATGAAAAAGGTCACCACAGCCTTAATTTCATTTGAATGAGCCAGTTTGCCTGTAACTCCAGGTATCACAATGCATCGTCAGAACTGTTTTTACAAACGATAACGATAACATATTTATATGCCATTTCATTGTATATATTCCCCATAATAACCTAATTATAGCAGCATGACAATATTTCACAAAGTGCCATAATAATAAAAAGGAATTTATTTTCATTGTTTCAGATTAAGGCTTAAACTGTGTACAGAGGAAGAAGAATAATACACTACTAAACTACTAAAAGTGTGTAAAGTACAGAGTTGCAAATACTCAAGTTTTATATGAATATACCATCTACATGCATTTAAGTATAACAGTGTGCAAACTGCAGACAGACAGTAATTTTAGGAACCAGGTAAAAATCTAATAAATAAATTGGCAGTTTCCTTTGTGTGGTCACCACTGCTCAAGAGGCAACAAAGATTGGTAGTTACCAGGTTACACTGAGTGTGCTTAGTTCTCCAGTTACCAAACTGTGCTAAGAGGAAGATTAAGGGATTTACTTGCACACGGCTCCACTGTCTCAGCCAGAGTTACCACAGAAAGAAAAGCTTCTCTCATTGTTATCCATGGCCACTCATCAACGGGGCCGCCAGGCACAACGGGTTAATGTTACAGATAGTGATAAACACCTTTCAGTGAGGCCATAAAGCACACTACCCAGCAATAGGTGATCTTCTAAAATGTTTGCCTCAACAAAATACCACAAGGTTTGTGTGTCATGTAGGGATATATGAAATCTAGGAAAAACTGAAAACTGAAATATTCAAAGTGTGATCGGTTCTGAGAAGATTTTCTAAAAAAGAAAAGAAAAGAAAAAGAAAAGAAAAGCTGTCACATCTTTGCCTGTCTAACAAGTACACAATGACAATGCATGTAAGTCCAAAGAGTTCAGATTAACCCTTACGATCGTGCGCCTGTGCTGAATGCTCAAAGGTCTGATTAGCTAATGGACTCCTTATCCGTGAGATCTGGGAAAAGCCAGATCATCTGAATGGCTACTTGAATACAAGTGTCATAGAGTTTGTGTTTAAGCTGTCGGCTTACGAAGTTGTAACGCATGGCTCCAAAAGAAAGAGTCGTCACATATACAGTGAAGAAAACAGCCTCTGAAAATGTGTCAAGAAAACGACGAAATTGACACAAATATATGAGCTGGCCAGTGAACAAAGAAGAAACCAATACTCTTTGCAGCTCTGTTTCAATACAACACAATGTTTCAGATTTTTGGGGGCTGCTTTCACCTATGCAGAATTACAATTTTGTACTTTTTAAGAGTAATTTCATGTATCCCACATTGAGAATTTACCAATAGTGCCACATGAATTTGAATAAATATGTATAGATATGTCCATTATCTTATAAGAAGGTGTTTCCTGGCATCTTTATCAACAAAAGTCTACTTTCACCCTCAACAAATGCAATCTTAGTTTACTGAATAGCTGCCACATGAGCACGTGAGTCCTGGTGACCAAGAGCTGGCAGAGAAGACATGGAGAACTAGGTCAACTCGCCACCCACCAGAAAGTCCTGTGGTGGAGCTCTCTGTAGTCTATGGGTCATCCCACACAATATTGGAAATAATTTTGAGTACTTTACCAAAAGAAATAATAAAAAGGGTAATGGAACACCCCACTCCACAAAGACATTATCTTTGACAGTATCTTTGAACTGAATGAAAACAATTGCATTTTAAAAAATAATCATCGAAAAATGAAACAACCAGGACAGAGCTTTTCTGTCCATACTGATAAAATCCCTGTACTGCACTTGATAGTGTTTCTAGACTCATAACAGACTGGTGCTAGAGACTTGTCTTGAGCAGTGTTTCCCAAACACTGGTCCTCATAGTATTCAAATAAATGGGACAGCCTTCAAACAACCTACAGGCAGTATGACAAAGGCTTTAAACAGCAAACCACACTTGACAATCAACCAGTTCCAAGCGATTAAGACACAAGGAAATTGTTTTACCACTGTGTGGTAGAAAAGGATGCGGAGACAAACGGCGTCCTAATGCCAGCCCAAATCTGGCCTTTGACCTTTTTCAGAAGTCAACGGTAAATCCCAAATCCAAGGGGGAAGTGCTTTTGGACAATTGAAAAGTGAGTATTCAACAACCAAACCTTTCAAATGTATTCAAAAAGAAGAACAAACGCATCCATATTGAGGTCTCTTTACCTTTTAAGCTGTTCCATCAGTAGCCAAACAAAACATAAGCACCATGTGATGAATACATAATTATAAAAAAGTTCACAGTTAAATGCATCGCCTCATAAATTAGATAAGTAATACCCGAAAGTACCTGCAGTGATTTTTATGCACCAGAATACAACTGAGCATGAGATATTCATTTTAACACTATGTACAAGGGGACGAGCCACTGCAATGACAAGATCAAATAATTCTGTGACAGAATATGTGATTGTGTTTTTTATCATAATGAATTCTGGGCAAACAAAGGCCATTTGTATTCATTTCAAAGTATACACAGTGCATCTCTGATAACAAAGAGAGGCCGTTAGAAAAGCTGGGCCTTTGTAACTTCTCCATCTGCCTGAATAAAAGGTCTGACTGAAGGTTGCCATTAGTTGTGGTCAAAAGGTTAAAGGTTGTAAACAGGCCCTCGAAGGCAGGCTCCAGGGGATTTCCCATTTGTTTTCTCAAGGGAGTCTCCACACGTTTCCGTTTGCATTTGTTGCTTCAACTCCTACTCCCTCTTGTTAGGGAAAGGCGTGTATAACGGATCTGATGTTTTCATACCTGAAGCAAAAGGGCAGCCAAACAGTGAGTGGATATGACAGTAACATTACAAAAAAGTGAAGAAGAAGAACCTGAAAATTATGCTCTCTTTGGCAATTGCACCAAACACCAACTGTCAGGTCTTAACTTGGCGTTATGCTTTTGTCAGTAAAAGAGAGCTCTGAACAGATGTGTGGCACTTGCAAAAATTTGAGCTAATTACCAGAAATCATGTATACTTCTCGGAGAAATGGAAAATCTGTTGAATTTGAGAAAGTGACAATGCAATTTTTATTGCATTGTCACAGAAAAGCTCAGAATTGTATTTTAAGTGAGGATAAAGACTAAGCTACTCATCCAGAGACCTTGATCTTGTCACATATTTTTTTTATTTATAAGAGACAAAGAAAATGAGGTATATTCAAGTTTACCAAAGCTTGTAATTAGCACTATCCAGTTCAACGAATGACCAACATGCTTCTAGTATCTTGTACTCAGTTATTATCAAACCACAGAGCTAGGATGCTTTACTCTATACTAAAGAGTCTGTGGTCAGCAAGTCTAGCTGATGACTGTGTGATTGTGCACTGCCAACTCCACAAGAACAGCCATTTTGTTGTCCATTTGCTCAATTACTTATCCAGCGGCACCACAAGGTCAGGCCATTTCGCCTATGCTGCATCAGCATCGTCATCCTGCTGACCCAAAGAGTCAAAGTCTAAAGGAGTACCATTTAGGAGACATGTTCAAGTGTTTGTTTTTGTTTAAAATTGTGCTTGCTTTTACAACAAAACTGTATCCATAAATGAAGCATTACTGAGGTCTAAACCTACAGCAGAAATGCCACATATAGCTAAGTTGTGTTCATTTTTAAAAAGAATGGGGATTTCTTTTGGTTTTTCAAATCTGCACTTATGGGAGACAAAAAAACAAAACATGTTCAAGTAAATTAACCAGCAGTCAATGAACTGAAACGAAAATCAGAATGTGTAGATGATGCATGAAAATGCAGCTCCAAAACCTTAAGGTAATACAATGGTCATGAGCCTCTGAGACACCTTAACGAATTCCACTTTAATTTCCCCCTTCGGGAAAATTGTCAGGCTTCTCTTTCATGTCAGATTTCATATCTACCCAAACAATTACTTATTATTTAAGTAATGTTCAACAACATATTTATCCTTAGAAGCCTTAGAAGGTAGTGATACAGCCAATATATATTTTAGACAGTTTTAATTATTTGAGTATGTTTTCAAACCCTTAGTATCTTACTTTGCCTTTTGAAGGACATTTCAGACTGAATTCATTCATATGAGCCTATAGTGCTTCCTGCCAAAGCTAAGAATGTCTGAGAACAAGCTGATCATCTTTTCAGTGGAGGACAACTGCTTCCCTCAGGCTTGCAGTGACCCAAAAACTGCATGCTTGCTTTATTTGGTTTTAGTTCTATGGGATTCCTTGGTTCTTGGTCAACTTAAAAAAATAAATTAATTAAAAAAAAAAAAAAAAAACAAGTGAAAAGTCAGATTAACTTCTATCGTACACAATGATTTCTATGACTGAAATCCAACACTGATATTTGCAACTAGGATGACACTGCACCCAGCTTCAAGGAAATAATGTCACAACAAAACAACGTCACAATAGGAAGATTAATAAAACTGAGAATATCTCATATCTAGAGGATTC